ACAGTATTGAGTCTTCGTGGGCATGACGCTACAAGCTTGGCACACCTGCATTTGGGGAGTTTCTCCCATTCTTCTCTCCAGATCCTCTCAAACTCTATCAGGTTGGATGGGGAGCATTGCTGCACAGCTATTTTCAGGTCTCTCCAGAGATGTTCGATCGGGTTCAAGTCCAGGCTCTGGCTGGGCCACTCAAGGACATTCAGAGACTTGTCCCGAAGCCACTCCTGCGTTGTCTTGGCTGTGTGCTTAGGGTCGGTGTCCTGTTGGAAGGTGAACTTTTGCCCCAGTCTGAGGTCCTGAGCGCTCTGGAGCAGGTTTTCATCAAGGATCTCTCTGTACTTTGCTCCGTTCATCTTTCCCTCGATCCTGACTAGTCTCCCGTCCCTGCTGCTGAAAAACATCCCCACAGCATGATGCTGCCACCACCATGCATCACCGTAGGGATGGTGCCAGGTTTCCTCCAGACCTGACACTTGGCATTCAGTCCAAAGAGTTCAATCTTGGTTTCATCAGACCAGACAATCGTGTTTCTCATGGTCTGAGAGTCTTTAGGTGCCTTTTGACAAACTCCAAGCGGGCTGTTATGTGCCTTTTACTGAGGAGTGGCTTCCGTCTGGCCACTCTACCATAAAGGCCTAATTGGTGGAGTGCTGCAGAGATGGTTGTCCTTCTGGAATGTTCTCCCATCTCCACAGAGGAACTTTAGAGCTCTGTCAGAGTGACCATCGGGTTCTTGGTCACCTCCCTGACCAAGGCCCTTCTCCCACGACTGCTCAGTTTGGCCGGGCGGCCAGCTCTAGGAAGAGTCTTGGTGGTTCCAAAGTTCTTCCATTAAAGAATGATGGAGGCCACTGTGTTCTTGGGGACCTTCAATGCTGCAGACATTTTGTGGTACCCTTCCCCAGATCTGTGCCTCGACACAATCCTGTCTCGGAGCTTTACGGACAATTCCTTCAACCTCATGGCTTGGTTTTTGCTCTGACATGCATTGTCAACTGTGGGACCTTATATAGATAGGTGTGCGCCTTTCAAAATCATGTCCAATCAGTTGAATTTACCACAGGTGGACTCCAATCAAGTTGTAGAAACATCTCAAGGATGATCAATGCAACTGGATGCAGGATGCAACTGAGCTCAATTTCGAGTCTCAAAGCAAAGGGTCTGAATACTTATGTAAATAAGTATTTTTATTTTAAAAAATTATATAATTTATTTACAATTTCTAAGAACGTGTATTCGCTTTGTCATTATGGGGTATTGTGCGTAGATTTCTGAGGATTTCTTCAAATTAGTGGATTCGGCTATTTCAGCCACACCCGTTGCTGACAGGTGTATAAAATTGAGAACACAACCATGCAATCTCCATAGACAAACATGGGCAGTAGAATGGCCTTACTGAAGAGCTCAGTGTCTTTCAATGTGGCACCGTCATAGGATGCCACCTTGCAAACAAGTCAGTTGGTGAAATGTCTGCCCTGCTAGAGCTGCCCCGGTCAACTGTAAGTGCTGTTATTGTGAAGTGGAAACGTCGAGGAACAACAACAACTCAGCCGCAAAGTGGTAGGCCACACAAGCTCACAGAACGGGACCGCCGAGTCCTGAAGAATCATCGGTCCTTGCTTGCAACACTCAATACCAAGTTCCAAACTGCCTCTGCAAGCAACGTCAGCACAAGAACTGTTCGTCGGGAGCTTCATGAAATGGGTTTCCATGGCCGAGCAGTCGCACACAGGCCTAAGATCACCATGCACAATGCCAAGCGTCGCCTGGAGTGGTGTAAAGCTCGCCGCCATTGGACTCTTGTGCAGTGTAAACGCATTCCCTGGAGTGATTAATCATGCTTCACCATCTGGCAGTCCAACAGACAAATCTGGGTTTGGCGGATGCCAGGAGAACGATACCTGCCCCAATGCATAGTGCCAACTGTAGTTTGGTGGAGGAGGAATAATGGTCTGGGGCAGTTTCTCATGGGTCAGGCATGGCCCCTTAGTTCCAGTGAAGGGAAATCTGAATGCTACAGCATACAATGACATTCTAGTCGATTCTGTGCTTCCAACTTTGTGGCAACAGTTTGGGGAAGGCCCTTTCCTCTTTCAGCATGACAATGCCCCTGTGCAAAAAGCTAGGTCCATTCAGAAATGGTTTGTCGAGATCGGTGTGGAAGAACTTGACTGGCCTGCACAGACCCCCTGACCTCAACCCCATCAAACACCTTTGGGATGAATTGGACCGCAGACTGCGAGCCAGGCCTAATCGCCCAACATCAATGCCTGACCTCACTAATGCTCTTGTGGCTGAATGGAAGCAAGTCCCCGCAGCAATGTTCCAACACCTAGTGGAACGCCTTCCCAGAAGAGTGGAGGCTGTTATAGCCAAAAAGGGGAGACCTACTCCATATTAATGCCCATGATTTCGGAATGAGATGTTCGACGAGCAGGTGTCCACATACTCTTGGTCATGTAGTGTACAGTATAAGTCCATGTGTCAATATGTAATTAATTACAAATAGTTGTGACATATAGCTTTAATTATTGTTACCGTCATTACTACCGAGGAGGAGTAAAGTTTCACCTTACTCAGATATAGCCTTTATATACTGTATGTTCTACTTGTATTATGGGATGATCAATTAACATTTGCACCATGATACATGTAAGTGTTGGCCCTGGTTTTGAACAGGTCTGAGGGATTGGAACAATGAAGGCGGAGGGAATTGCAACATTTTGGAATTCTAATGGAATTGTGGAGATAACTGCTCAAATGACATGAATTCCAAAGTTTGTGTTGGGGTTGATTTGTTTTGTCAATGTCAGTCCGCCATTTATTTTGAATGTTCATTTTAGACACAGACAGGGCGGGCTTGTTGGACAGTACTTTAGTGCCAAACATTTTATTGATGCATTTTGCCCCTTTAATTAGGGAGTGCAGCCCTGGCATTGTGACATAGATTTGAATATTGACCATAATTGCCAAAAGGGGAGCATTGAGAGAAATGTTGGTCAATCACAATGGCAGGTGTATTCTCCATTGTTGGAGGGTATCGTATCTGATTCACCACGGCTGGCAGTGGAGGACCTGCCACAGAGACACTAGCCATCTGCCACTGTCAGAGGAGGGGGTAGACATGTGCCAAAACCCCAGACTGGCTTTGGTCAGGTGTCCAAGACAATATATTAGGTCCAGCCCACTGGTTCAGATACTGAATAGGATTGTCTTTCAGGTAACACCTTATTTGATAGTTCTTATGACATTTATATGCAGTGTCATAAATGTGACATTAGACTTGTCATGAGGTGTCATGTACATTCATTCAAGTTCACTCATGTCAAAGAAAGTGTTACCATTGATATTTAAGAGGGGACAACAGCATATTGGGATTCTGTCACTCTGCCAGTCTGGCATGAGACCATCATTGTGCCACACACTAAGCTGATCTGTCAGAAGCTGCAATTTACCAGATATATCTTTATCCCTATTTCTCTTGTAGTCTGTCTCTCCCTTTTGCTCATGCTCGCTATCTTTTCTCACATTACAGAAGCCGAACGGCATTTGAGAGAATTAAGATGGATCAAAACACACAATGTGGGGCCCTTGAAGAAGCTGAGGTACAGTATGACAATGGCGTCATGGTGGCAGAAACCACTGGTTTAATTCAATGTACACTACATTATAATAATATCAGCATACTCATTGTACTGTAGTCTCAGACTGAGCTTAGAATGCCTGTGGGGGATTTCCTCGGAAATACCACTGAGTGTTAAGCACCATCTGTTATTTGGGGGTTGTGATGGTGATGGTGCTAGAGATGGGATCTGGGTCACATCCCAGTCCTAAAAAGTGAAGATACATAGATTATGTCTGAGTGACTGCAACACACTGGGTGTTGGTAATAGCCTAGATATATATTTTGAGGAGTGAATAAAAAATAAAAAAACATCTGCATTGCTGCAGGTCATCTGAAAATATGCAAGTGCAAAATACAAGCAGTTTTATCTAGACCATCATCATTATCCAGTTCAATGTGTTTTGAAACTAGCTTACAGTAGAAGAATGTGCCAGGGCTAATTGTAAATTTACCACCATCTAAATTAATTGGCCTAGAATTTCTGATAAAGTAGGGTAGTTTATTTAATCCCTAAAATGCTACTTTGGGCGACATTTTATCTCTGCAAAACTGCATAACCACGCAATAATAACTTAAAAGGCCTAGGCTACTCACGATGTTGTAGAAGGACTGGTCTTGTGTTCTTTCATGATGTGACGTCTGTGAGAGTCACGCATTTTGCCGCGGATTTCTTTACACCTGTAAAAAAAAAACAATCGCTGCATGGACATCGGAAAATACGTTTAAAGATCATTCAAACGAGTGGCGTTTGGTAATGCAAAGTGGCTTTTGCACACCTGTCCGGGAGTGAAGTTTGGCCTCTTCTTCCCAGCTGAGCTCAGGATCACACTACCAAGCAGAGGTCTTCACAAGTTCAACAACCCGACTGCTGCAATTGATTTTATCAACAAGAACTAGAAGGAAACTGTTCCCCCAGACTGACCGGAGCAACGAGATGGATATTTAGCCTATCTGAAGTGCACTGTTTGATAGGTAAGGCCCGACACATAATATAATAATATGTAGCCTACGACAGTGCTTCCTGTTTTTTTATTTGCATTATACGTACATTTCCCTCATTGTTGGCTGAAATAGTAAGCCTCTATTCATATAATAATTATTTTGTCATTGTTTTCTATGTAGGCTTGAGGAACAGGTTCCCTTTTATTTTGTCGAGCCATAAGCTGTCATGCTGCCTATGTTATTTGATTTAACACCCTGGTGTCACTTTAGTTGGCACTATTGGTAAACTGTGCTTTCAATATTATTTTTTTATATATTATTTTCTCTTTTAAAATATAATTGTCACAACGCTCCACTTGGTAAGAGTTTAGCCTAGCTGCTGGAACCACTATGTTTCCTGGAGAGTATTTAGGAGCTTGTATACTAGGGGGGGATGCACGCGTCTTGTTTGGGAAGACGCTTCAGCGGGTGGGTGGGAGGTAGTTCAACTGTTTTTTGTTTTATTTTGTCTCGTATGTCAGGTTCGGTCTTCCGCTTACATATAAAAGCCTACACTGATTTCCTCTTTTTCCAAAGGATGACTCAACAACCTAAAAAAACATTTGTGCCTTTCTGTCTTCACTTCCAGATATGACCTCACTTATTAATCTTGGGTGGCGATTTCAATTGCTGACTTAATCCTACTTTGGATCGTTCTTCCAACAAAATTAGCACACCTGCTAAGGTTATCAAAACTTTTCTTGAAGAGTTTGCCATTACAGACCCCTGCCGTTTTTTCAATCCAACTAGTAGGGAATATTCATTTTTCTCCCATGTCCATCACACGTATACCCGCATTGACTACTTCTTAGACAACAGACTTATTTCCTCTGTACGCTCATGCTCATACAATTCCATTGTCATATATGATCACGCCCCTCTGACTTTAGAGCTATCAGTTGGTGGTGGGACTGAGCCTCATGTACCTTGACGTTTTAATACGCGCTTGCTGTCTGATGAAAGTTGTCAACTTTCTGACTGCTCAGATTTATGTTTTTATAGCTACTAACGACACCCTCGACGTTTCAGCATCTGTTCTGTGGGAGACTTTTAAGGCCTACATTAGAGGTCAAATCCTTTCATACACTCGTTTTGAAAGAAAAAATAGGAAAAAAAGACTCTCTGAACTGACAATTTGTGTTTTACAGTTAGACAGTACTTACACTACCTCACCATCCCCAAATGTGTACAGGGATCGACTCTCTTTACAAGCTGAATTCAATACCTTGTCAACAGACCAAATTGAGAAACTGCTGCTTAAGTTCATGACATACTCACTATGAGTATGGTGACAAGGCAAGTCAATTGTTTTCTCATCAACTTTGCCAGTCTTCCTCTGCTCTACAGATTTCTCAAATTCAAACACCTACAGGTGCAACAATAGATCCCCAGCTAATAAATAACCAGTTTAAGGACTTCTATGCCTGTTTATACACTAGAATAGCAGGAAATTAGCTTTAAAACTGCAAAGATTTTGCTCAGCTCCATGGGGAAATTTGTAGAATTGCAGGAAATTGACTTATAAATTCTAAAATGTCTCTACATCGCCAAGATGGCGGCCTCTAAAATTCAGCTGTGCCGACAGCGCCCACTGCAAACTCAATATCACATCACTTTTGAACACTATTGAACAATAAATAGCCTATTACCTTGTCGACAAGTTAACAAATGATATGTTGTATTCATGTCTCCAAAAGTTAAAGAATGGGATTAAGCCAGTGGCTCAAATGGAACTATCCAAGTAGTATATACTCCTCTTTTAAATGTTGATATTTGGTTGCATTGTTCAATAAAGACTATATATACAAAAGTATGTGGACACCCCTTCAAATTTGTGGATTTGGCTATTTCAGCCACACCCGTTGCTGACAGGTATATAAAATCGAGCACACAGCCATGCAATCTCCATAGTCAAACATTGGCAGTAGAATGGCCTTACTGAAGAGCTCAGTGACTTTCAATGTGGCACCGTCATAGGATGCCACCTTTCCAACAAGGCAGTTCGTCAAATGTCTGCCCTGCTAGAGCTGCCCCGGTCAACTGTAAGTGCTGTTATTGTGAAGTGGAAATGTCTAAGAGCAACAATGGCTCAGCCGCGAAGTGGTAGGCCACATAAGCTCACAGAACGGGTAGAAATCGTCTGTCCTCGGTTGCAACACTCACTATCGAGTTCCAAACTGCCTCTGGAAGCAACATCAGCACAAGAACTGTTCGTTGGGAACTTCATGAAATGGGTTTCCATGGCCGAGCAGCCACACACAACCCTAAGATCACCATGCGCAATGCCAAGGGTCGGCTGGAGTGGTGTAAAGCTCGTCGCCATTGGTCTCTGGAGCAGTGGAAACACGTCCTGTGGAGTGATGAATCACGCTTCACCATTGAATCTGGGTTTGGCGTATGCCAGGAGAACACTAACTGCCCGAATGCATATTGCCAACTGTAAAGTTTGATGGAGAAGGAATAATGGTCTGGGGCTGTTTTCGTGTTTCAGGCTAGGCCCCTTAGTTCCAGTGAAGCATATAATTACATTCTAGACAATTCTGTGCTTCCAACATTGTGGCAACAGTTTGGGGAAGGCCCTTTCCTGTTTCAGCATGACAATGCACCCGTGCACAAAGCGAGGTCCATACAGAAATGGTTTGAGATCGGTGTGGAAGAGCTTGACTGGTCTGCACAGAGCCCTGACCTCAACCCCATTGAACACCTTTGGGATGAATTGGAAAGCCGATTGCGAGCCAGGCCTAATCGCCCAACATCAGTGCCCGACCTCACTAATGCTCTTGTGGCTGAATGAAAGCAAGTCCCCACAGCAATGTTCCAACATCTAGTAGAAAGCCTTCCCAGAAGAGTGGAGGCTGTTATAGCAGCAAAGGGGGGATCAACTCAAGAGATGTTCGACGAGCAGGTGTCCACATACTTTTTGGAAGGTAGTGTAACTTTTGTAATATACACTGCTCAAAAAATTAAAGGGAACACTTAAACAACACATCCTAGATCTGAATGAATGAAATAATCTTATTAAATACTTTTTTCTTTACATAGTTGAATGTGCTGACAACAAAATCACACAAAAATGATCAATGGAAATCAAATTTATCAACCCATGGAGGTCTGGATTTGGAGTCACCCTCAAAATTAAAGTGGAAAACCACACTACAGGCTGATCCAACTTTGATGTAATGTCCTTAAAACAAGTCAAAATGAGGCTCAGTAGTGTGTGTGACCTCCACGTGCCTGTATGACCTCCCTACAACGCCTGGGCATGCTCCTGATGAGGTGGCGGATGGTCTCCTGAGGGATCTCCTCCCAGACCTGGACTAAAGCATCCGCCAACGTGGCGTTGGTGGATGGAGCAAGACATGATATCCCAGATGTGCTCAATTGGATTCAGGTCTGGGGAACGGGCGGGCCAGTCCATAGCATCAATGCCTTCCTCTTGCAGGAACTGCTGACACAGTCCAGCCACATGAGGTCTAGCATTGTCTTGCATTAGGAGGAACCCAGGGCCAACCGCACCAGCATATGGTCTCACAAGGGGTCTGAGGATCTCATCTCGGTACCTAATGGCTGTCAGGCTACCTCTGGCGAGCACATGGAGGGCTGTGCGGCCCCCCAAAGAAATGCCACCCCACACCATGACTGACCCACCGCCAAACCGGTCATGCTGGAGGATGTTGCAGGCAGCAGAACGTTCTCCACGGCGTCTCCAGACTCTGTCACGTCTGTCACATGTGCTCAGTGTGAACCTGCTTTCATCTGTGAAGAGCACAGGGCGCCAGTGGCGAATTTGCCAATCTTGGTGTTCTCTGGCAAATGCCAAACGTCCTGCACGGTGTTGGGCTGTAAGCACAACCCCCACCTGTGGACGTCGGGCCCTCATACCACCCTCATGGAGTCTGTTTCTGACCGTTTGAGCAGACACATGCACATTTGTGGCCTGCTGGAGGTCATTTTGCAGGGCTCTGGCAGTGCTCCTCCTGCTCTTCCTTGCACAAAGGCGGAGGTAGCGGTCCTGCTGCTGGGTTATTGCCCTCCTACGGCCTCCTCCACGTCTCCTGATGTACTGGCCTGTCTCCTGGTAGCGCCTCCATGCTCTGGACACTACACTGACAGACACAGCAAACCTTCTTGCCACAGCTCGCATTGATGTGCCATCCTGGATGAGCTGCACTACCTGAGCCACTTGTGTGGATTGTAGACTCCGTCTCATGCTACCACTAGAGTGAAAGCACCGCCAGCATTCAAAAGTGACCAAAACATCAGCCAGGAAGCATAGGAACTGAGAAGTGGTCTGTGGTCACCACCTGCAGAACCACTTCTTTATTGGGGGTGTCTTGCTAATTGCCTATAATTTCCACCTGTTGTCTATTCCATTTGCACAACAGCATGTGAAATGTATTGTCAATCAGTGTTGCTTCCTAAGTGGACAGTTTGATTTCACAGAAGTGTGATTGACTTGGAGTTACATTGTGTTGTTGAAGTGTTCCCTTTATTTTTTTGAGCAGTGTAGTAAAAAGCCTAAAGTTAAGGCTATTTTACAAACTAATGTAACATTCAACCTTAAAATGAGAAACACATCCATTGGCACATTTTGAGGCTACTGTAACAATAAATGCCTTCTTATGTAATCATACAAAGCGTGCATGTTCAAGATAGCATGCATAGGTCGACGCAGGAGATCTTCACAATTGTTGTAATAATCTGTGCAGACTGTCGAACGGCATTGATCACTTGCACCATGTACTTTCAATGTAATCTCACCTGCAACTCAATATTAGGAAGGTGTTCGTAATGTTTGTACACTCAGTGTAGGTTGTAATCTCATTGATCAACGTCTCAACCAAATATTACCCCATTATCCACATTAAAATGACGTGGTGTGCCCAGTTCGGTTGGTCGCAAAATTGTATTTAGTAGTTGCGAGATTTTTTGCAATTGTTTGGTGTTTCTTTTAACAACAGTGTTGTGTATAGAAGGTGTCAGAGTATCACAAGGCCTAATTGTCACATGAGGAACTGTTGCCTCCAATAGCTGACTGCCACTGTGTCCCCAGGATTGAACATGACAACACAGGTGGCATGAATGCCAGCTGGTTCCTGTACTGGGTCGTGGTCACCGACATGAACCGTCCGCACATAAGGTTCTACTTCGCATGCAACAACTGGCTGAGCCGAGAGGAGGGGGACAGCCTGCATGTCAGAGGGCAGCCTCAACCCCATGGATGTCCCCAAATGTAGGTCAATCTGGAAAGCACACCTTTACACACAGTACAGGATACACATCCACACTACATAGAATATAGAAGGCGACACTGCATGAGGTCCATGGTTCAAAAACACTCTGACCAATTGCACTGAACACTATCTACAGGGCCTACAGCATAAGCTGCAAAGTATACGGCAACTGAAACCAAGATTTGCATAATTTAGGAGCTGCATCTTACATAGCCAACTTGATTTGTAGTTAATGCACACTTCATGTTCTTAAAGGTAAGTTACTCTGCCTACTGTTACTTGTGGGTAAGGTGCCTCATGGAGCCTAATCGTCCGGTAAACCTTGTAGTCCTCTTGTTACAATGTGACCTTCATCTTACATCTCATTATCAGACAGAGAGAGAAGGATGCAGGGTGCATTTGTTTTGGGGCCAAATGTGACCATGGTAGTAGACACAGATCATGCCTCCGCTCGTGCCTACTTTTCCAGTATATTCAAGACTGGATGAGTGGTCAAAGATTAACCGTTATTCCGAACCTGACAGCTGTCACGGGACCAGACACACCCTGACAGGCACACTCACACACACCTACAGTAGACCTATTAATATTTCACCTGGAAACTGGCTTATTTGGGATTAGAAGAAACTCTTGACTGTCTGATGTCTATTGTGAGAAAAAGGGAGGAGATGCACACAAACTCGCACAAGGCACGAGATTAAACAGGAATTAAGGAGAGGTTAGAGGTTACGGTCAAAGAGGTTAGAGGTTACGGTCAAACTTAAATTTCAGTGACAGTGATGCATAACATGAAAAGTATCATAATGGCTGTGTCTATACCCCATGTGAAATATCATGAACAGACCATAACCAGTTCATGAATGTCCTATCCTCTTTGATATTCTGTTGTTTAACAGATAATGTATAAATACAGTGAGTGTGTTCACCTCTGCCGAGATGGGCAGTGGGTCAGATGGGGACGTCTTCCTGAATATATTTGGAGATCATGGTAACACAGGCAAGATAAGACACTTTTCGTGCTTTACAGTTGTTCTCTGAGTCCACTGTGAGAATACAAGCACTATTCTTTCTGTCATTAGCTGTTTGATTTCATTATATATCACTCTATATTCTATATGGTTTCATTTAATAGCATCAAAGGGGAGAGGTGACAAAGATAACTTTGAGCGAGGCACAGAGGACAAGTTTACTATTGAAGCACCAAACATGGGAAGGCTGAAGAAAATCACCATTGGCCACAACAACAGGGGCTCATCAGCTGGATGCTGTGTAGATAAGGTATACACACACACACATACACTCACACTCACACTCACACACTGTTATCTGTCTCCAGGTGGTGATTGATGACATGGGGAATAAGGAGGTGTATGAGTTTCCAGGGAATCGCTGGTTTGCCATGGATGAAGATTATGGGAATATACAGAGGGACGTGTTGTTGGGAGCAACACAACCCATAGTATGTGGAAAAATTTCCCAACTCTTAGTACAAAACTCAAAACAGATCATCCAAAAGGCAGTTTATTCGCAACTTTAAGCACATTTCCAGTTGACTAAGTACAACTCACAAAATCACACAGTAACTTTTCACCAAACCTAATCAGTATTTTATCTAGAAATACCTTTCGTATAAAGTAATTGCCTTTCACAATGTAATGATCACACTACTTTTCATATGATTATCTTCTCATTTTAAAAAATACATTTGACCATCACTTAATCCAACTGCGCTTAATGGTTAATCATTTAACCATTTGGTAAACCTATAGATTTTAAACTGGTTTGTTAACTAAATATGGATTTTGAGAACTACAGAAATAAAATGTGTGTTTGTAAAGTATAAAAATCTATATTACATGTATGATACATGATAACCATACATAATGACTACTCGTCATTAGTAATTGATTTCACATAGTGGTAACCACAATTGGTCACCATATATACTGAACAAAAATAGAAACCCGAGCTGAGAAAAAAATAAACTTAGATTTTCCATACGCACAAAAAGTGTATTTCTCTGAATTTTGTGCACAAATTTGTTTACATCCCTATTAATTAGCATTTCTCCTTTGCCAATATAATCCATCCACTTGACAGGTGTGGCATATTAAGAAGCTGATTAAACAGCATGATCATTACACAGGTGCACCTTGTGCTGGGGACAATAAAAGGCCACCTTAAAATGTGCAGCTTTGTCACACAACACAATGCCACAGATGTCTCAAGTTTTGAGGGAGCGTGCAATTGGCATGTTGACTGCAAGAATGTCCACCAGAGCTGTTGCCAGAGGATTTCATGTTAATTTCTCTAACATAAGCTGCCTCCAACGTCGTTTTAGAGAATTTGGCAGAACGTCTAACCGGCCTCACAACTGCAGACCACGTGTAACCACTCCAGCCCATGACCTCCACATCGGGCTTCATCACCTGCGGGATCGTCTGAGGCGGTGTAGTGTGCTGAGGAGTATTTTGGTCTGTAACAAAGCCCTTTTGTTCGGAAAAACTCATTCTGATTGGCTGGGCCTGGCTCACACCAATGGCTGCACCCCTGCCCAGTCAAGTGAAATCCATAGATTAGGGCCTAATGAATTGATTTCAATTGACTGATTTCCTTATATGAACTGAAATTCTTGCATGTTGCATTTATAATTTTGTTCAGTATAAAAGGGGGCATGTGAACACTTGCAATTTCTTTCAACATGGAGCAGGATAGACAGCAAGGAAGAGAAATAAATCAAAGAGCTCGTGGACAAGGGGCCTGTCAGAGCGGTGGTCATGGGCCCCATCAAAGAGGTAAAATAAGTGGGCAGAGGCCTTTCCATGGCAGAGGCTGACAGATTAGTTCATCCCAATCTGAAAAGATTGTCAATTCGATCATGAGACAAAATCGGTAAGTCTGCAGGATATGCACTATATTTGACATTTTTGTCATTTAGCAGACACTCTTATCCAGAGCAACTAGGGTTAAGTGCCTTGCTCAAGGGCATATCAACAGAACCTTGTTGCTCAAGGGCATATCAACAGAACCTTGTCAGCTCGGGGATTTGAAACAGCAACCTTTCAGTTACTGGCCCAACGCTCTAACCACTAGGCTACCTGCCGCCCCACTATGCTTAACCATTACAGTTACATTAAATTACATATTGTAATGCATGTAAATTCACAAAACATGTTACAGTAGTCTTATAGTATGATCTATTGACAGTATACTCTGTTCTACCCTCAGAATTGACTGAAGATTCCATGTTGGTGTCAGTGGCCGTGTGTGGCATCCGACAGCCTACCAACAATCGCCTGCCTTTTGAAGAGGCACCAGGTATTTATGAAAAACATTTACCTGGTGCCTTTTGAGAGAAACAACGACTGGGTGAAACAACTGTGGGCTGAGTATGTTCAGGTACAGCACTATATACTGTATTACTGATACTATTTGATGCATATGCTACTTAACAATATCATATTGGAACTATACTGTAAAAATAACTAACCAAAATATATTTTTAGATGGTGATGGTGCTTAATGCTGCTGTGAACCATCACAAGTATATCTTTGTTGATGAAATGGGCTTCAACCTGGCCAAAACTCAGCGCCAAGGGCGGAACCTCAACGGCCAACGGGCGACCGTCCTAGTGCCTGGACAACGTGGGGGAAAAATCTCCATATGCTCAGCTATCTCCGAAGATGGTGTGGTAGGACGTAGGCCATTACTTGGATCCTACTACACTGCACACCTCATTGTGTTTCTCAGTGTCAGGTTCCACCATGCAGAGGTGGTTCAGGCATGGTTTCGGGCCCATCCCCAGTTCGTGACCCTATATACCTGCCCCCATACTCTCCTTTCCTCAACCTTATTGAGGATTATTTTTCAGCATGGAGGTGGAACACACTCTAAAAATAAAAGGTTCCTGGAGTGGTTCTTCAAATTGAAACTGTGGGGGAACCCCTATATGTTCTTCAAAGGCCACCTTTTAATGGATCCTCAAAGAACCTTTTTGAAAAAACTTTTGGGGTTAAGTTTTGAACTACCCCCCCTCCCATATTATTATTATTATTAATAATAGTTGAGTTTTTACCAAAAAGTTATATTTTGGTTTCATCTGACCATATGACATTCTCCCAATCCTCTTCTGGATCATCCAAATGCACTCTAGCAAACTTCAGACGGGCCTGGACATGTACTGGCTTAAGCAGGGGGACACGTCTGGCACTGCAGGATTTGAGTCCCTGGCGGCGTAGTGTGTTACTGATGGTAGGCTTTGTTACTTTGGTCCCAGCTCTCTGCAGGTCATTCACTAGGTCCCCCCGTGTGGTTCTGGGATTTTTGCTCACCGTTCTTGTGATCATTTTGACCCCACTGGGTGAGATCTTGCGTGGAGCCCCAGATCGAGGGAGATTATCAGTGGTCTTGTATGTCTTCCATTTCCTAATAATTGCTCCCACAGTTGATTTCTTCAAACCAAGCTGCTTACCTATTGCAGATTCAGTCTTCCCAGCCTGGTGCAGGTCTACAATTTTGTTTCTGGTGTCCTTTGACAGCTCTTTGGTCTTGGCCATAGTGGAGTTTGGAGTGTGACTGTTTGAGGTTGTGGACAGGTGTCTTTTATACTGATAACAAGTTCAAACAGGTGCCATTAATACAGGTAACGAGTGGAGGACAGAGGAGCCTCTTAAAGAAGAAGTTACAGGTCTGTGAGAGCCAGAAATCTTGCTTGTTTGTAGGTGACCAAATACTTATTTTCCACCATAATTTGCAAATAAATTCATTAAAAATCCTACAATGTGATTTTCTGGATTTTTTTTTCTCAATTTGTCTGTCATAGTTGACGTGTACCTATGATGAAAATTACAGGCCTCTCTCATCTTTTTAAGTGGGAGAACTTGCACAATTGGTGGCTGACTAAATACTTTTTTCCCCCACTGTATTATACTGTACAGGGCAGCGGGTAGCCTAGTGGTAAGGGTTGGGCCTGTAAACGAATGGTTTCTAGTTTGAATCCCTGAGCCAACAAGGTGAAAAATCTGTTGATGTGCCCTTGAGCAAGGCACTTAACTCTAATTGCTCCAGAGTCACCGTTGATAATGGCCGACCCTGGCCGTGACCGCATTCTCCGAGAGTGTCCCAGGGAGAGTGGGATATGCAAAACACACATATTCCAATTCTCACATGCGTATTAACACACTCGTACATCTGTGAAATAGGACAAATAAGGTTTACCCTTTACCTGCATACTGTGCCAGAGAATTCTATTATATCATGTTAAAATTAAATGAATATATTTACAGTGTGTACAGTGCCTTGCAAAAGTATTCATCACCCTTGGTGTTTTTCCTATTTTGTTAGATTACAACCTGTAATTTAAATGGATTTTTATTTGTATTTCATGTAATGGACATACATAAAATAGTCCAAATTGGTGAAGTGAAATGGAAAGAAATCACTTGTTTCAAAAAATTCTAAAAAATGAATAACGGAAAAGTGGTGCGTGCATATGTATTCACCCCCTTTGCTATGAAGCCCCTAAATAAGATCTGGTGCAACCAATTACCTTCAGAAGTCACATAATTAGTTAAATAAAGTCCACCTGTGTGCAATCTAAGTGTCACATGATCTCAGTAAATATACACCTGTTCTGAAAGAGTCTGCAACACCACCCCAGAGTCTGCAACACCACTAAGCAAGGGGCACCATCAAGTAAGCGGCACCATGAAGACCAAGGAGCTCTCCAAACAGGTCAGGGACAAAGTTGTGGAGAAGTACAGATCAGGGTTGGGTTATAAAACAATATCTGAAACTTTGAACATCCCACGGAGCACCATTAAATCCATTATTAACCACAACAAACCTGCCAAGAAAGGGCCGCCCACTAAAACTCACGGACTAGGCAAGGAGGGCGTTAATCAAAGAGGCAACAAAGAAACCAAAGATAACCCTGAAGGAGCTGCAAAGCTCCACAGCGGAGATTGGAGTATCTGTCCATAGGACCACTTTAAGCCGTACACTCCACAGAGCTGGGCTTTACGGAAGAGTGGCCAGAAAAAAGCCATTGCTTAAAGAAAAAGCATTTTGGTGTTCGCAGTTTGGTGTTCGCCAAAAGGCATGTGGGAGACTCCCCAAACATATGGAAGAAGGTACTCTGGTCAGATGAGACAAAAATTGAGTTTTTTGGCCATCAAGAAAAACTCTATGTCTGGCGCAAACCCAACACCTCCCATCACCCCGAGAACACCATCCCCACAGTGAAGCATGGTGGTGGCAGCATCATGCTGTGGGGATGTTTTTCATCGGCAGGGACTGGGAAACTGGTTAGAATTGAAGGAATGATGGATGGCGCTAAGTACAGGGTAATTCTTGAGGGAAACCTGTTTCAGTCTTCCAGTGATTTGAGACTGGGACGGAGCTTCACCTTCCAGCAGGACAATGACCCTAAGCATACTGCTAAAGCAACACTCGAGTGGTTTAAGGGGAAACATTTAAATGTATTGGAATGGCCTAGTCAAAGCCCAGACCTCAATCCAATTGAAAATCTGTGGTATGACTTAAAGATTGCTGTACACCAGCGGAACACATCCAACTTGAAGGGGCTGGAGCAGTTTTGCCTTGAAGAATGGGCAAAAATCCCAGTGGCTAGATGTGCCAAGCTTATAGAGACATACCCCAAGAGACTTGCAGCTGTAATTGCTGCAAACGGTGGCTCTACAAAGTATTGACTTTGTGGGGGTGAATAGTTATGCACGCTCAAGTTTTCTGTTTTTTTGTCTTATTTCTTGTTTGTTTCACAAAAAAAATTATTTTGCATCTTCAAAGTGGTAGGCATGTTGTGTAAATCAAATGATACAACCCCCCCCCCCCCCCCCCCAATCCATTTTAATTCCAGGTTGTAAGGCAACAAAATAGGAAAAATGCCAAGGGGGGTGAATACTTTCGCAAGCCACTGTATTTATTTTGGCCAGAGCAGAAGTAATATTTATACACACTATGTGCTGTACCAGAGCTTTCAAATACACTGAGGCATTTGTATTCACAATGTAGCTACCCGAGTTCTCTCAAGAACACCCAATGAAAAAGTACAGGAATACTCAAAATGATAGAATACCTACATTGCCACTGAATAAACCTGTAACCAGATGACTTCACTTGATGAATACAGTTATATCCTACAAGTGATGAACTCCTACTTAGTGATTATGATGGATTGTGGTGCATTAGCCCACTCTCCATCATCCTGCCATTGTCTAATTGGTTAGTGACATGTTGCTCTGCCCCCTTTGCAGTGATAAACTACGAGATCACGGCGGTCACGGGGAACATGCGCAATGGTGGCACCAACGCCAATGTGTTCTGCCAGATCTATGGAGAGGAGGGCAAGACTGAGCTCATCTGCCTCAAGAGCCGCTCCAACAACCTTGAGCGCGGGACCACAGAGATATTTAAAGTCAGACACAGTCAGTGAACCAGTAAAAGAAGTCTACTGACTACACATTCATTGGTTTCAAATTGTGGGAAAAGTATTTTCCTTTTGTGAATTAGTTGGATTCATGAAGAGTACAGCTATCATTGGTTTTGAGAAGACTTAGCATAAAATCAGTCATTCTGCCATGTTGTGGAGTGGAGTGATGAGGACAAATCTCTGAATAACCACCATTGGCCTGTCTTACTGTCTCTCACCCCACAGATCGAGGCACTGAACGTGGGCAAATTATTCAAGATCTGCATCGGGTACGACGGTTCTGGTATGGGCGATGGGTGGTTCCTTGAGACGGTGGACTCGCCATGGTGCAGATGGAGGCAGCGAAGGAGAAGCCGAAGGATGACAAGAAGGACAAGAAGAAGAAGAAAAAGAAGAAGAAGAAAGAGGAGGATGAGGAAGAGGGGCATGTGACAGAGCTCCAGAAGGTGGTGGAGAGCGTGACCTTTCCCTGTCAGCGCTGGCTGGCCCGCGACGAGGAGGACGGGAAGATCATGGTGGAGCTCCTCCCAGAGGACCTTGGAGACCTGGAGGGCTTATGTGTACGTCAACATCTACGGAGAGATGGGCGACAAGGGCGAGCGGAGACTCAGGAAGTCAATCAACCTGAACACATTTGAGAAAGGGCAGGTGAGACATCTGTCAATATGATGATGATGTCAATATCTGAGTCGCTGTTGAACTACAACCTCTTTCCCATTGACCCAGCTGTTTGACCTTTGTGCATGGTCCCCTGTTGTTACGGATCAAATAAATTAAAACAATTAACAATTATTGATCATTGAACAGATACCTTTTATTAACCTTTTATTTATGCCTTTGACCTCTGACCTTTCCCGTGGTTCCCTGCTGGGTTCAGGAGGGCGTGTTCTCCATCCCGGCCATCGATCTGGGTGTTCTGAAGAAGCTGAGGATTCGCCATGACAACAGCCAGCCTCATGCCGCCTGGTTCCTGGACTGGGTGGAGATAGTAGACAACAAAGACCATGTAAGGGAGGGGAGGAGGCAGGCACGGGATTACACAATAGGAGAGGATTATTAACCACTTTACTACACCATTTGAGATAATATTGCCTTTTCTATTTTATTATTACCACTTATCTACATTCTACACCATATGACACACCATGCATGTATATCTATAGAGCTAGGAAGGTGATTTATAGATAAATAGCTGGTCCAAAAAAATATATGCATCTGATCCCAAGACTGCCTGTATGTGAGAAAAGGTGTGGTTTTTAAGGATATAAAAAGGTCTGCCTATTGGTCTAAGAAAACAACTGCACAGCGCCCCTTGGTGGTCGGGAATGGTACACATGGGGTTATTATCAAGTCACAGAGACAGACAGACAGAGCCTAGAAGCCTGGCAGGCTAGGCTAGTGACCGACAGACTAACTGTGTTCTAGGTACTGTAAACGGGGGTTGGCCATTGATGAGGATGACGGACAGATCACCAGGGAGCTGGTCTCTGTGGACGAGGCCTTTATGAAGAAGGGTGATGATGAGGAGGTGGAATACTCCAGTGCAACACTCGGCCTGGAGCAGAAGGGTGAGAAATGCTAATTGTTTGCTCTTATGCTGAGTTTGCTCCCATTATTTTCAGAACAATAAATGCAAAAAAAAGATGTTATATGTCCTATTCCCTCTGGAAAATAACAGATGCAAACATCTAGGCCTAGTTACCCACATTTCATTGATCAGTAGTTATATAATTTGATTTAATAATATCAATGCATAATATCATGAATACATTCTTATCTGATTTAGTTGATCTGTCTGTCAGCCATGTGCACCACCTTCACAATGAGGGTAAAGACTGGAGACAAGAAGAATGCGGACACCGATGCCAACGTGTTTGCCACCCTGTACGGCACGAAAGATGACACAGGTAACCATGATATAAGATATTTAGATAATATACACATTTGTGTCTGTGATCGTGTGTATTAGAATACACTACCTACTATGCCATTTACTGCTCTGTGATACGAACATATAAGACAGAGAGACAGACAGACAGACAGACACACACAGTCCTTGTGATATGATCTGTTATGCCTGTGCAGCGGCCACAGCAGGCTGGTTCCTTGACTGGGTAGAGGTTGACGCCCCGTTCCTGGGCCTGAGGCTAAGGTTCCCCTGTGGTCGCTGGCTGTACAAGGGAGAGGACGAACGACGACGGGGCCATCGTCAGGGACCTGTCCCCTGCAGACCTCCAGACTGATCTCGACACACCATGTAAGAACCAACTTGCAACATACTATACTTAGATAACCCATATTATAGCCTACTAGCTAGCATACCACTACCCTATACAGTATTACTATCTTATATCATACCATATCAGGTCATATCTGACATACCATAAGAGCCAGTCTACAGTACACTGTACTTATTGTAGATAACCCATATCTTACAGGACCCTATCCTACCAATTACCATGCCATATTATACCCTTGTTTCCCCTCTGTTACAGTTGTGCCGTACGAGATTGAGACCTTCGCCAGTGACCTGTTTGCAGTGGGTACAGACGCAGACGTGTTCACCGTGCTGTACGGTCGAGACGGGGGTGTGCACCCAGCAGAGGTCTCTTTGTTCAACAAGAGGGAGAGGACCATGTCGTTTGAGAAGGGAGCTGAGGACATGTTCATCGTTGAGGTACGTCCACACAGTGGTCACCTATAAAACAATGTATAGAGACAGTTAAGCAAGGGATATGTGGTTCTTTAATGAGGATGATGGTGATGAATAGGATGATGATGTGGATGATGATCCTCATGATCATGATGATGATGATGTTTCTGTGACACCATGCAGTTGGAGGATGTGGGTGATGTCATAGAGAAGATCTGTATTGGTCATGATAACAGAGGGATAAACTGATGATGGTGTCATTGAAAAAAGCTTGCAGCGTGAAATAGCTCACAATCAATGATTATTGTGAGCATTTTTAGGCTTGCGGTTAGAGCAGACGACTACTGAGGAAGAGAAAGATACACAGGAGAAAGGCTACTTACTCAGTTACAGATCTAGGATCAGCTTACCCTTCACAAATCCTAACCTTAACCATATGGGGGAAAATGAACAAATCTAATCTTAGTCCAGTGTCAAAGGTCAGGGCAATCCTACACAGGTCTTCAGTAAAAAGAGACGGACGACGTCGTATTATAAATCAAAACAATACCATTTTTAGTCACAAGGTGGTGCTCTTCTCCTCACGGAGAGACCTGGAGTGTTCTCAGTCACTCACACATTGCTGCTCTGTGTCTCTCTAGGGGTCGGAGACTATCATCTTCTCATGTGAGCACTGGCTGGCCAAGTCAGAGGATGACGGAGAGACAGTGAGAGCGTTAGTACCCTCTGACATCATAATGGAGAAACAACTACGAGACGGAACTCTGAAAGTCAACGAGATTGAGGTGGAAGATGCACTGGAGAGTACGTACACACAAACACAAGCAAACACACACGCACATGCACACGCACACACTCTGAGGAGGAAGACTCAGTGGAGATTACACCCACATATGCACACACAGACACACTGGAGGCTGGCCATTACAGCAGAATGTGCCTTTTCGTTTGTCAGATTCTTTGTCTGCCTGCCTTCTTTGTCTGACAGGTAAATGATGAGGCAGTTCTCTGTCTTGCTCCGCTGCAGTCACACAATGTTGGGAATTTGTTCCCATTTGAACACTTCAGCCCATTATTATGCTTTCTGTCTGTGGGTTGTTTTATCTGTTATCTGTGCCCACCTACAAGGTGTATGCGATGACAGGTGACGTTTACAACAGGGGCACGGATGCCAACGTTTTCCTCACCATCTACAGAGACCTGGGCGACACGTGTGAACACAAACTCAGCAAGTCTGAGACAAACAGCAACAAGTTTGAGAAGGGAGCGGTAAGAGACAGAACACCACACCGTATCCATTATTGGCTTTTGCATCACAAAATAAAAGGTAGTGATGTTGTTATACAATCATTGTACAGTAATATTATGGCAATATATAAGGAAAATACTAATGAATGTGTCTTTTTGGATCATTCAACTGCTTGTGCTGAATGTGCCTCCTATTTCAGCTGGATAAATGTACCATTGAGGCGGTGGACCTGGGCCAGGTGTTTAGAATTAAGATTCGCCATGACAACAGCATGGTGAGTGCTGATTGGTACCTGGACCACATGGAGGTGGTTGACGAGGATCTGGAGGAGGTCTTAGTGTTCCTGTATGAGCGCTGGTTGTCCAGGAAATGAAAGGACTGACGCATCGAGAGAATGTTCTAGATCAAGGTACTGTGTGTGTGTGTGTGCCACAGTATGTACACTAATGTATGTGTGAACTATACTTCTGCAGTCAGTATGTGTGTGCATGCGTATCAGTGTGTGAGTGCGTACGCATATGTGTGTGTGAGCACACAGATCCTGACAAAGTGTGTGTGACCTGACCTGTGTATTCTCACAGGGTTATGAGGCGGAGAGGGAGACTTTCCAAGGCAGGAAGAAGAGCTCAGCCCTGATCAGCCCTGATCACGAAGAGTGTAGACAGCAACATGAACAAGAAGAGTAACAAGAAGAATGAGGACGTCCAAAAGAAGGGTTCCAGTAAATAAACACACTACTGTCAATATAACCCCCCCCCCACACACACACAAGCACATCAAGAGTTGTGAAAAAAGACTGCATTTCACCAGTTGCATACATTGCAATAAGCTGATTGATCACTCCAGAAATAAGTATTCACATTACACTTTGTAGAGGCAGGGTTTGGAGTAACAACTGTATTTTTGTGCTACACACTCATACACATACAGTCAAAACACATTACCTTGTGTCTTTGCAGTCATGCCATACCACTTCACCATCTCCACAGGGGCAGAGAAGGATGCCAGTACCAGCAGCACGGTCTATGTGGGGCCAAACCACACCCAGACAGAGGGGCTGTGGCTTGACCTGCGTGGGGGGAAGAAGTGCTTTGATTCTGGGTCTCTGGAGTCCTTCGAGTCACATGGAGTTGACGTGGGAGAGATTAGGAGGGTGGAGGTATGGGTCACATCACATTAAGCATACAGTATATGCATATCCCAAAGAAAAGTGGTGGTGTGCAATATATACTGTAGATAAAGGAAGACAAGGCCTGCAAACGGTTTAATGCTGCTACCATGAGTGCTTTATTCCTGGACCATGTTATACAAACAGCGTTCAGACACAGAAGTCTTCATCTAGTGCAAGAGTCACAACACACGCTGATGGATGTGGTTGCTCCATGCTCTCCCTGTAGCTCGGAGGAGCCACTCCTGAGAGTTGCTAGTTGGTTGATGAGCTAGCTGTTGCCGTGCCAACCAAAGGGGTAAAATACATTTTCCAGTGTAAGTATGGGTTGACCAAAGATTGGGGAGATGGACTGGCTGCCAGGGTGTTCAACGTGTTGGATGCAGATAGCATCACCATCTCCCAGAAGGCAAGTATCATGAATAATATACCTTTTTCTACTGTTACAGTATTACGCCTGTACTTGCTTTACCTACAGTACACAGTTATTACCTGGACTGCTAATACAGTACTAAACACAAACAGTACATGCAGTCATATCGGTTTAATATATGGCAGAGGGGGGTAAGTTGAGCCATTTTTAGCATCACTCCATCAAGGGAAATATACTTTTTTTTTCAAACAAAGATATCTACTTATATCTACAGTGCATTCAGAAAGTATTCAGACCCCTTGACTTTTTCCACTTTTTTGTTACATTACAGCCTTATACTAAAATGGATTACATTGACATAAAAAAAAAAAAAGAAACTGCTAGGTTTTCATCAAGTACCTCTCTGTACTTTGCTCTGTTCATCTTTCCCTCGATCCTGACTAGTCTCCCACTCCCTGCCACTGGAAAACATCCCCACAGCATGATGCTGCCACCACCATGCTTCACCGTAGGGATGGTGCCAGGTTTCCTCCAGACCTGACGCTTGGCATTCACGCCAAATATTTTAATCTTGGTTTCATCAGACCAGAGAATCTTGTTTCTTATGGTCTGAGAGTCCTTTAGGTGCCTTTTGGAGATGGGAGAACCTTCCAGAAGGACAACCATCTCTGCAGCACTCCACCAATCAGGCCTTTATGGTAGAGTGGCCACATGACAGCCCACTTGGAGTTTGCCAAAATCAAATCAAATCAAATTTTATTGGCCACATGCGCCGAATACAACAGGTGCAGACATTACAGTGAAATGCTTACTTACAGCCTTTAACCAACAGTGCATACATTTTTTGATTTTACTTTTTTATTAAAAAATAAATGCACTGTTGGTTAAGGGCTGTAAATAAGCATTTCACTGTAATGTCTGCACCTGTTGTACTCGGTGCATGTGGCCAATAAATGTTAATTTGATTTGATTTTGGCAAACTCCAAGTGGGCTGTCATGTGGCCACTTTACCATAAAGGCCTGATTGGTGGAGTGCTGCAGAGATGGTTGTCCTTCTGGAAGGTTCTCCCATCTCCACAGAGGAACTATGGAGCTCTGTCAGAGAGACCATCGGGTCTTCTCCCCCAATTGCTCAGTTTGGCTGGGCGGCCAGCTCTAGGAAGAGTCTTGGTGGTTCCAAACTTCTTCCATTTAAGAATGATGGAGGCCACTGTGTTCTTGGGGACCTTCAATGCTGCAGACATTTTTTGGTACCCTTCCCCAGATCTGTGCCTCGACACAATACTGTCTTGGACCTCTAAGGACTATTCCTTCGACCTCATGGCTTGGTTTTTGCTCTGACATGCACTGTCAACTGACCTTATATAGACAGGTGTGTGCCTTTCCAAATCATGTCCAATCAATTGAATTTACGACAGGTGGACTCCAATCAAGTTGTAGAAACATCTCAAGGATGATCAATGGAAACAGGATGCACCTGAGCTCAATTTCGAGTCTTATAGGAAAGGGTCTGAATACTTATGTAAATAAGGTATTTATTGTTTAATTTTTTTGTAAATTTGCAAAACAATCTAAAAACCTGTTTTCGCTTTGTCATTATTGGGTATTGTGCCTAGTTTGAAGACTGTAAAGTAACAAAATGTGGAAAAGGGGAAGTTGTTAGGTTTAGGACCTCATACTGAAGCTTATACACACCCCAAACAATGATCTACTTTGGATTAGATACAAGCATCATGAAACCTCTAACACAATACATTCATTTGATTTGGTGAAAATATTTTTTTTGGATCTAACTTGCTTACCACTTTTTCCATGTGGTTTCTTCTTTCACAGACTCCATGAAATGATGACCTCTTGCTAAATATTTGGTCACATAATTCATTTTGTGTATGGTTTCCTAGAAACAAGGGTGGCTCAACTTACCCCTTTGGCTCAACTCTCTCAACACTCTCCCCTACAAGGAAATGTCTTAACTTAATGTACTTTTTGTCACATTGATTTGTTTGTTTGATTTATTTGTTTGGTTTAACTGGCAGCATATGTTATCTCATCAATTAAACAAATATTCATAGTTTAATTTGATTGAGTGATTGATTTATTGACTGATTGATTAATCATTGTCTGTCTGTTATTGTCAGATCATCTATGAGGTGACGGGAGATGTTCTGAATGCAGGTACAGACACCCAGATCTACCGGTCTGTGTTTGGGGCTAACAGCACTACAGAGGGGATACTTCTGCAGAACAATGAGGACAGGTCCAGTACCACACACACACCTGACCAAACGTTCACAGGCAACCAAACACACTGATGAAACGCTGTCAAACACACCTGACCCAAAAGTTCACCCATGTGACCAAATGTTTACACTTCAACAAATGCATAAATTGAACACACCCAAATAAACACACCCCAAATAGCCAACATAAAGTGGTATTGAAACAACAAAACTACAATTTTATTCCACATTCATCCACATAAAAAACAATCTCTGATTAGCATAGAATAGTTTTATTTACTGTAGTTCACAGTGCATGTGATATGGACTAGTGGTGTGTTGACAGTTTAAAAGACTCTCCCATAAAGCATTTCGCTCACACTCTGGCTGTCTTTAGGTTTGAGCGTGGTCAGGAGGACACGTTCAGCCTGGAAGTCGATGACATTGCTCCCCTGATGAAGATGAGGGCTCGTATCGACGGCTCTGGTAGCCAACCTGACTGGTTCCTGGATAAGGTCAGCACTGACAACATGTCACAGTTTACCGGCTCGATACAACAAAGACTCTATACAACACAGTCTTTGTCTTTGACCTTACAGAGCTGTCAGGATGTCAGTGTGCAGCGGTAGGACGGAGTCAGGCACACGACACAGAACTGAGTAATAGACGAACTTTACTCGAAAAGCAACTAAATCTAATTTACACGCAGGGAAATACATCAGCTCACAGCAGACATAAACACCAAACAACGAACAATCACGCACAACACCATGAGGGAATCAGAGGGTTAAATAGGGAAACAAATTAACGTGATGGGAACCAGGTGTGTACAATACAGACAAAACAAATGGAAAACAGAAACGTAGATCGGTGGCAGCTAGAATGCCGGTGACGACGACCGCCGATAGCCGCCCGCACAAGGAGAGGCACCAACTTCGGCGGAAGTCGTGACAAGAGCAGTAATTACTCCATGTTTACAGTAAGAATATAATACAATACCATACAATCAGTGGAGGCTCCTGATAGGAGGAAGGGGAGGACCATTGTACTCAGTGAATTTCATAAAAATAAAAATAGTTAAACATAGTTAAAAGTTATCCTTTTCAGATAAAATTATACTCCACTGAACAAAAATATAAATGGAACAATTTCAAACATTTTCTGAGTTACAGTTCATATAAGAAAATCAGTCAATTGAAATACATTCATTAGGCCCTAATCTATGGATTTCACATGACTGAGAATACAGATATGCATCTGTTGGTCACAGATACCTTAAAAAAAGGTAGGTGCGTGTATCAGAAAACCAGTCAGTATCTAGTGTGAACATCATTTGCCTCATGCACCGCGACACGACACATCTCCTTCGCATAGAGTTGATCAGGCTGTTGATTGTGGCCTGTGGATTGTTGTCCCACTCCTCTTCAATGGCTGTGAGAAGTTGCTGGATATTGGCGGGAACTGGAACATGCTGTCGTACACGTCAATCCAGAACATCCCAAACATGCTCAATGGGTGACATGTCTGGTGAGTATGCAGGCCATGGAAGAACTGGGACATTTTCAGCTTCCAGGAATTATGTACAGATCCAACATGGGGCTGTTCATTATCATGCTGAAACATGAGCTGATGGCGGTGGATGAATGGCACGACAATGGGCCTCAGGATCTCGTCACGGTATCTCTGTGCATTCAAATTGCCATAGATAAAATGCAACTGTGTTCGTTGTCCGTAGCTCATGCCTGCCCATACCATAACCCCACCGCCATCTTGGGCACCCATGTTTACAACATCGACATCAGCAAACCGCTCACCCACACGTCGCCATCTGCCTGGTACAGTTGAAACCGAATTCATCCGTGAAGAATACACCTCTCCAGTGTGCCAGTGGCCATCGAATGTGAGCATTTGCCCACTGAATTCAGTTATGACGCCGAGCAGATGAGCTTCTCTGAGACGGTTTCTGACAGTTTGTGCAGAAATGTTTCGATTGTGCAAACCCACAGTTTCATCAGCTGTCTGGGTGGCTGGTCTCAGACAATTCACAGGTGAAGAAGCCAGATGTGAAGGTCCTGGGCTGGTGTGTTGGTTACACATGGTCTGCGGTTGTGAGGCCTATTGGACGTATTGCCAAATTCTCTAAAACACATTGGAGGCGGCTTGAACATTAAATTCTCTGGCAACAGCTCTGGTGGACATTCCTGCAGTCAGCATGCCAATTGCACGCTCCCTCAAAACTTGAGACATCCGTGGCATTGTGTTGTAAGACTGCACATTTTAGAGTGGCCTTTTATTGTCCCCAGCACAAGGTGCACCTCTGTAATGATCATGCTGTTCAATCAGCTTCTTGATATGCCACACCTGTCAGGTGGATGGATTATCTTGGCAAAGGAGAAATGCTCACTAACAGGGATGTAAACAAATTTGTGTACAACATTTTCGAGAAATAACCTTTTGGTTCTAATGGAACATTTTGGGGATCTTTTATTTCAGCTCATGAAACATGGGACCAACACTTTACATGTTGTGTTTATATTTTTCTTCAATATAAATATATTCACGTCACCAAATAACTGATTAAAACACACTGTTTTGCAATGAAGGTCTACAGTAGCCTCAAAAGCACAATGGTGTAGCTGGAGGACAGCTATTTTCCGCAATTCCTCTGGATACATTGACTTCAATACAAAACCTATGAGGCTCATGGTTCTCACCCCCTTCCATAGACTTATACAGTTTTTATGACGACCTCCAGAGGATGTCCTCCAACCTATCAGAGCTCTTGCAGTATGAACTGACATGTTGTCCATCCAATCAGGATTAGAGAATAAATCTAGTGCTGAAAGCATAAGCTACAGCTAGCACTGCAGTGCATAAAGTGTGGTGAGTAGTTGACTCAAAGAGAAAGACAAAAGTTGAACAGTTTTTAACAACATTTCTGAAAATATTAAGGAGAATTAGTATTCTTCTTAGTTTACCTTTCATTTACTTAGCTAATGCAGCTAATTTAGCCTACACAACAACCTGACTCAAACAGAGAGGAGTGCTATTTACATTAGCTAGCTGGCTAAGGATATCCAACACTGCAACTCTTCCAAGTCAAGGTAAGCTTTCGGTTTTATTAATTTATTGTTACTGGGGCCCGCCGGTGTAACTGCTAAACTGTTTGCTGTACATTGGACACATGGATTGGATTGTGGGTTTACTAACGCGTTAGTTCTAGTTTGTTGACTATAACGTTATTAATATGGTAACAACGATGTAGGTGGTTAGCGGTTATGGTATGAAGGTTTGGCTTGGAGAGGTTTTTGTGCCTGGTCAAAGACAGCTGTTGTGTTGTGCACTGAAGTCCACAAGCAATGGGAAAAGGTGAGAGCAGGAGAGCACGTAGATGCGAGAAGGAATTATGCAACTAGCAAAGTAGCGGACTAAACTCCACTCCATGGTGAAGGAAGTTTATGATGAATTTCACCAAGAGAGAGGAGCAGAGACCAGGCTTTGTGGAATCTAGCTCCAACTACATCGATTCGCCCAAGTCAATACTTGGAAATCATGAAACGCCTACCTTGTACCTATGTTTGTCCTCTGTAGTTATGTGCCTTTCTTTGTTTGCTGAAATCCACACTTTTTCAATAAATGGTCATCAAATACAACCACCGACTTTTTGCTAGTTTCTGATGGCAATTTAGCGCGAATGCGCATGTGTCAATTGAATAGATACACATGACGAGGTGTGGCTTAATGTGACCACACCCTCGAGTAGGGTACAGCCTTAGGGTACTCCCGTTAGTCCCATGTAATTAGCCTAACTTTGGCGGCATCCACTTTTTTGTCGTTTCAATAAATGTTTTCAGCAGCCTCACGTGTCTATACTAACATACTTGGCTGTCACAAAAACAAATTATTTGTATGATACTTATTCTGCCACTCTAATTTCTTACCCGACCTGCTAACACTAACAGTAAAGATAGTAAAGCTGTCGCATTATACTTACATCATTGTTTGTTTACAGTTTGTTTTTGTCAGTTAGCTGACGTTAGCTAGCTGGCTAGCGTCGAGAGAAGTTAATCTTGATCTAATTCGCTAGTTTTAGATATGTCGCATAACTACTTCCAGTCTTTGCCTGCCCTTGAATGGTCTAGGTATTTAGAAAAGTTGATTCTTGTTGGCTTGCCTATATGTCCTTTCAACTTGCCTCCTACTGGCCCTCCAACACCACTTCCAGCAGTGTGTCTCTCCTCAATTTGCAGCAGGCAGCCAAGTTTGCTGTCACTCAGTCAGAATGCACATCACATACAGGCAAGCGCGTGCAAGGCGGTATTAAATGTGTCACTCACTGTCTGTCACCTTGATTACTCAAATTTGTCTCTCAATCTGTGCACCTACGTTATAAACGTTCATTTGTAGGCTAGGTTGTAGCAACCTCAAGATGGATATAGGGCAAATTCAAGTATCAGGTAGTAGCCTAAATCTATTGATGTTACACTAGCCAAAAGTATGTGGACACCTGCTTGTCAAACATCTCATTCCAAAATCATTAATATGGAGTTGGTCCCCCCTTTGCTGCTATAACAGCCTCCACTCTTCTGGGAAGGCTTTCCACTAGATGTTGGAGCATTAGTGCAGGCTTCCATTCAGCCACAAGAGCATTAGTGAGGTTGGGTACTGATGTTGGGCAAGTAGGCCTGGCTCACAGTCGGCGTTCCAATTCATCCCAAAGTTGTTCGATGGGGTTGAGGTCAGGGCTCTGTGCAGGCCAGTCAAGTTCTTCCACACCGATGTCGACAAACCATTTCTGTATGGACCTCGCTTTGTGCACGGGGGCATTGTCATGCTGAAACAGGAAAGGGCCTTCCCCAAACTGTTGCCACAATGTTGGAAGCACAGAATCGTCTAGAATGTCATTGTATGTTGTAGTGTTGAGATTTCCCATCACTGGAACTAAGGGGCCTAGCCCGAACCATGAAAAACAACCCTGGACCATTATTCCTCCTCCACCAAACTTTACAGTTGGCACTATGCATTCAGGCAGGTAGCGTTCTCCTGGCATCCGTCAAACCCAGATTCTTCCGTCGGACTGCCAGATGGTGAAGCGTGATTCATCAGAGAGAACGTGTTTCCACTGCTCCAGAGTCCAATGGCGGCGGGCTTTACACCACTCCAGCCGACACTTGGCATTGCGCATGGTGATCTTAGGCTTGTGTGCGGCTGCTCTGCCATGGAAACCCATTTCATGAAGCTCCCGACGAACAGTTCTTGTACTGACGTTGCTTCCAGAGGCAGTTTGGAACTCGGTAGTAAGTGTTGCAACCGAGGACGTGCTTCAGCACTCGGTGATCCCATTCTGTGAGATTGTTCAGCCTTATAGCTCGATTTACATTTTATAGGTAATTTCTGATTGAGTCGACATATGCAGCATTTGGGCGAATCGTGAATGCAGTCTCCGCTAACGTGGGAACATTGCCTTTACATTTCTATTGCGCTGTAGCACAGGTCTTCAGCGCTATGGATTGAATCGAGCCCTAAATCTTAGGTCACAGGGTTGCTCAATCCCCAACATCCCTCTCAGACTTTCTCTCTCACACACTCGCTCTCTCTCTCACACACACACACACACACACACACATAAACACACACTGATCCCTGCCTGCAGGCGATAGGTCACTGCATAATTCAGCCACACACACCAGACAGACAGACACGCTCACACAGCTCTGCACGGTAGGGGTAAGAGTTCGTCTGGGGTGAGCTTCATTGAATGGCACATGAGTGTATTGACCCATTTCAGTCAGTGTGGGGTTGGAGCAGGCAGGCTGCAGATACTGGGCTGAATATGTTCTCCCCAGACACCGACACACACAGGCTCAGACACAGGCTTAGTAATGAGCAGTAGCAGAAGCACCATGCTGTATCCCAATGATGACACTAAACATGTACTGTTTTATGTAGTGTCAAAGGGGTTGTGAATAACACAAGACAGCAAAAAGACATTGGACAAAGTTGAATTGTATTGTATTGTATAACCCTGCCATGAAATATGTGACAACACTCACCTTCATTTACTGAGTGAACATATATTTTATGATGTGACATCACAGGGGCATTGCTAATTGTCTCAATGTATTACCATACCATTTCTTTGTGATCTGTAATTGGTTGTTGACAGAAGTAGCACATGCACTAAGAAGTACAATACAAAAATTCTGAACACCCCCCACCTCCAGGAAACATTACAGATTTTATCCTACATTCTGAGGTTTCTCACTGAGACATAATTGTGTTCCAGTTCTATTTGATGGTCATCATTGAATTGGCGGATGGCTTCCCCCTGTCTGCACAATATGAACGCTGGCCCCAAATTCACTTCAATGCCAAGACCTTACCACTCTGATGTAAAAAGGCATTTCCTATGCAGGAACAACCCCTCCATGTCTTTCCATATCACCCAGCCTGCCTCTAGACTAACCAAACACAGCCGTGTCGGTCTGTGGCTGGGCCATGTCCTTGGACTGACCCAGTAGATGTACAGCATCCCAAACAGATGTGTGCTAACGTTATGGATTACACACACAGTGCCTGTTTATTCAAATGGCCACTGCAGTGAACTGGGCACACAGCCAGCATGCTAATCCCACTCAAATTAATATATTGATGGAAGTTAATGCAGGTTGGGCTACCGGAGCCTTGGGTTTTTACAGTAGGGTACTTTCTACAGTTACACCCTGTCCATGACAAGTGGTCAAACACACTGGGAGAGGCGAGGGGAAGAGGGATATGCTCATAATGCACAGTATTTACATATAATGTCAGGTCCATAATTATTGGCATCCTTGATAAATATGAGCAAAAATGACTATTAAATAAATAATACAAATACTGAGCTATATTGTATGCTCCAAAAATTTGGGAAATTATATTATTTTATACTAATACAATTGCCCAGAGACAAATATTTTGTTTAACAAGCAATAAAGAAAAATCTCAAAGATTGGGGTCCAAATTATTGCCACCCCTGTTTTCAATACTCTAGCAAACAAGGGTTAATGACTTACCTAGTAAAATAAAGGTTAATGACTTTGACTAATTCATCATGATTAATTATAATTCATCATAATTTCGCCCAGATTATCATGCATAACCTGACCACAGAGGATGTGTCGGAGTTCACCTATGAGGAATGGCTGCCGTGGTGGACGAGGAGGAGATGGTGGAGAGAACCACCTACATCATCCAGGTCAAGACCAGTGACATTGGAGGTGGGTCAGTCAGTCAGTGCACAGACAAACAACACATTCTACAGTCCTCATTAAAGTCCATCATGTTTGTGTGACTGACCAGGGCCTGTATTCATAAAGAATCTCAGAGTTAAAACATACTGATCTAGGATCATTTTTGCCTTTTAGATTATAATAAATGGGCAGGGGGGACCTGATCCTAGAAAAGCAATCCTACTCTGAGACACTTTATGAATACAGGCCCACGTATCAATCTCAAGACTACATTATCCCACTGAACTAAAGCCTAGTCATTACTGTAATTCCCTGAACCACATTTACTTCAATTATCTGTAATGACACTGTCCCTCAATCTGGAACTTGCACTGCAAATCGACACCATTTATTATACACTGCACCAGATCCAGCTTAGGTCCTGTTCCTAACCAGCTGGGATGTTTGTTACAGTATATTCTCCTGATTCACTTCATCTCAGCGGCACAGCGGAGCCTCTTTTCTGCTTGGAGAGACGTGACGCTGCAGCAGAGGTGGAATAACGACGTTCCATTTGGACTCACATAGGCTAATGAAAGAGATCCTCCTCTGAAAGCTGTTGCTGGGCTTTGCTCCTTAGCCGTGCAGTTTTCCACCGCAGAGCAGAGCAGAGGAGAAGCGGGCTGCTGATTGACACGATAGAGGAGCTAGGTGTCTGAGCTCACTTCAAAGAGCTCCTCATTCTGCACTTGGCTGCCAGTGTTACTGAAGACATGGCCCTCATCTTCCCACTGAGCCTGTGTGTGTGTGGATCATGAGCAGAGCTTTCACACACACAGCATCAGAGAAGCACTGACTGCGCTCTCAACATTACACATACGGGCATGCACGCATGCGCACACACACACACACACACGCACATAAGTTAAAGACATGTGAGTCACGCACGCACGCACACACACGCACGCACACACACACACACACACACACACACACACACACACACAAACAAACATGCAAGCACATGAGTCACACGTTACTCAGAGGAAAAAGCGCTTCTTAATTGAGGTTTGATTTGATAAGGAAGTTGGTTAGTTGTTAATATGGGACTATTTGAAAGGCAGTCTATGGAAGTAAATATGGTGATTTTATTAATTTTCAAGGATGTCTGAATGATGGTGAAGTGGTGTTTTGAAAGGCAGAATGTTAGTGGCTAATGGGGAAGATTTACAGAGACCTTTGGGGTGAAATTAGGTTTGTAAAATCTGTATTATTGGTGAATAGATATTTCTTTTTTCAAGGATGTCTGACTGTTGCTGATGGGGGAGGTTCGAATATGCAGTCTGGTGACGGGGAATGGTTATTGGTGAATATATTTTTTATACGATGACTTGGGGGTAGAAGCTGTTCAGGGTCCTGTCAGGGTCCTGTTGGTTCCAGACACTTGTTGTGCGGTAGCAGAGAGAACAGTCTATGACTTGGGTGGCTGGAGTCTTTGACAATGTTTGGGGCCTTCCTCTAAAACCGCCTGGTATAGAGGTCCTGGATGGCAGGGAGCTGTACACACTTCCCTCTGTACCTAAATCTGCATTGTGTTTTTATGCACCAACTGTGAACTAGATAGTTTTTTTAATGATATATTGTTTATCACGGCTGTCTATTTCATACCCTGTCAGTTGTTTAATACTCTACTGATATGTCATGATCAGGTCCTGCTCCAGGGTGGCACATAGAATTCATTGATGTAAAGGATGAGGCCCTGGACAAGACATTCCGTTTCCCATGCGACCGCTGGTTGGTCAAGAAGGAGGACGACGGACAGATCATGAGGGAGTTGGTCTGCACCAACAACGACATCTTAGACCTCAACGAGAAGACCAGTAAGATCAGTTGCGCACAAGCCTGAGTTCTCTTTAGTAGGGCCAAGCATTTATCCTGGTAAGGCTATGCAGTCAGGAAGAACTCCTGGCTCTAGTCTTTACAGTGCTCCAATCAGATCATAATGAAATCACTATAGTGTACTGTAATGGTAAGGGTAGGTAACAACACATCTGCCATGCTGATCCTCAACACGGGGGCCCCTCAGGGGTGCGTGCTCAGTCCCCTCCTGTACTCCCTGTTCACCCATGACTGCATGGCCAGGCATGACTTCAACACCATCATTACGTTTGCCAACGACACAACAGTGGTAGGCCTGATCACCGACAACGAGGAGACAGCCTATAGGGAGGAGGTCAGAGACCTGGCCGTGTGGTGCCAGGACAACAACCTCTCCCTCAACGTGATCAAGACAAAGGATATGATTGTGGACTACAGGAAAAAAAAGAGGACTGAGCACGCCCCCATTCTCATCGACGGGCCTGTAGTGGAACAGGTTGAGAGCTTCAAGTTCCTTGGTGTCCACATCACCAACAAACTATCATGGTCCAAACACACCAAGACAGTCGTGAAGAGGGCACGATAAAAGCCTATTCCCCCTCAGGAGACTGAAAAGATTTGGCATGGGTCCTCAGATCCTCAAAAAGTTATACAGCTGCACCATCAAGAGCATCCTGACTGGTTGCATCACCGCCTGGTATGGCAACTGCTCGGCCTCCGACCGCAAGGCACTACAGAGGGTAGTGCGTACGGCCCAGTACATCACTGGGGCCAAGCTTCCTGCCATCCAGGACCTCTATACCAGGCGGTGTCAGAGAAAGGCCCTAAAAATGGTCAAAGACTCCAGCCACCCTAGTCATAGACTGTCCTCTCTGCTACCGCACGGCAAGCGGTATCGGAGCACCAAGTTTAGGTCCAAAAGGCTTCTTAACAGCTTCTACCCCCAAGCCATAAGACTCCTGAACAACTAATCATGGCTACCCGGACTATTTGCTACCCGGACGCTGCTGCTACTCTGTTTATTATTTTTGCATTGTCACTTTAACTCTACCCACATGTACATATTACCTCAATTACCTCGACTAACCGGTGCCCCCGCACATTGACTCTGTACCGGCACCCCCTGTATATAGCCTCCCTACTGTTATTTTATTTTACTGCTGCTCTTTAATTATTTTATATTTTATATTTTTTACTTAACACTTTTTTTTATTTTCTTAAAAAACTGAATTGTTGGTTAAGGGCTGTAAGTAAGCATTTCACTGTAAGGTCTACACCTGTCGTCTTCGGCGCATGTGGCAAATAACATTTGATTTGATTTAATCTACTTTGTTTCCTATCCTATTGCAATCCAGTCCTCACGTAACCCCAAAGTTGCAAATATTTGTTCTAGACTTCTAAGCCCTTGTATAGTTGAATCAGGTCTGTAACAAAAATTTGCAACATTGGAGTTATGCGAGGGCTGGACACTGACTGTACTGATGTCTACTTTTGCCCAATGGACCATTCAAGATAATTCAGTCCCCCCAGGGCTAAGCTAACGCTTTGTGTTTGTACTTTTGTTTGAAAGAATATTAAATTATTACCACCATGGTGGACACAGACAACGCAGAGACCAAAGAGAACATCTGGATCGCACTGGAGGGGAAGAAGGGGCGATCAAAATAATATGTGATGGAGAACTCATCAAAGAAAAATAGGTTATTGCGGTACGCGTTTGTGTAAAGAAAAAACAGAAATTATTGGATTGGAGGACTTTTCTCTTTTGTCTATTATGCCAGCCAGGTTTAGAATGATCTCCCTTGGCACTAAGAGCTCTTTTACAGACTATAATGAGTCAGGCCTCTCAACAGTATACTCTGCTCTTATGGAATTCAATCACTAGTAGTAATACACTCATTAGACATTGCCAGGCATGAAAGGAGCTCATAAAATCTAATCCACACCTATTTTTTTTAAGATTACATTTTTGCTAAACTTATCTAATGCAGCTTGTAATATTCTTTACTGGTTTTCCGCGCAATGTGTCTTGTTTTCATTCAGGGGAAGTTCTCCTCCAAACAGCTGGGTGACATTACTGGCATCTGCCTGAGCCACACCGCCAAGGATGGGAAGGAGGTGAGAGGAGAGACATTCTGGCAGATGGAGGAGGTCGTCTTCATAGAGAAAGAGCTAAACAACAGGTGAATGACCCCTAGCCTGGCCCCATGTACTGTATATCAACCATCTGGGGCTTATTCGGTAGGGTGCGAAACCCTGCAGCTAGAAATATGTTGTGTGGAAACACACAAGTTCTCCGTCTTGTGGAAGAGAGATTCATTCTACTTTTATATCCCTCCTGTTCTAGGTTCCTAATAGTCTGCAACGCCCTGATCCCCCTCTCCCCGAAGACGGACGAGTTTGTGACCATCGAGGACATTGAGAGCTTCGTCAGCAAGGCCTGCAGCCTGGTGCCCATCAATATCATCATCAAGGGCGACGAGAATGGGGTGGGCACCGACGCCAACGTCTTCATCACCATCTAAGGCTCCAACGGCGACTCGGGCTGCCGGTCGCTGCGGCAGAAGTTCCTCAACCTGTTTGAGAATGGCCAGACGGGCCGCTTCCTGCTGGAAATGCTGGACATAGGCGAGTTCCTGAGGGTGCGTGTGAAACACGATAACTCGCCTCAGTCCCAGCTGGCTGCTGGACTGTGTGGAGGTCACCAACACGGCCAACGGCGTCATCACCATCTTCCTGTGTGGGAAGTGGCTGGATACCAAGAAAGTGGACAGCCAGATCTTCAGGGTCCTCTACCCAAAGTACTAAAGACCTCATATTGAGAGTTCTGGCCTCCACAATCACCCGACATCAACCAAATTGAGATGGTTTGGGATGAGTCGGACCGCAGAGTGAAGGAAAAGCAACCAACAAGTGCTCAGCATACAGTGAGGGAAAAAAGTATTTGATCCCCTGCTGATTTTGTACGTTTGCCCACTGACAAAGATATGATCAGTCTATCATTTTAATGGTAGGTTTATTTGAACAGTGAGAGACAGAATAACAACAAAAAAATCCAGAAAAACGCATGTCAAAAATGTTATAAATTGATTTGCATTTTAATGAGGGAAATAAGTATTTGACCCCTCTGCAAAACATGACTTAGTACTTGGTGGTAAAACCCTTGTTGGCAATCACAGAGGTCAGACGTTTCTTGTAGTTGGCCACCAGGTTTGCACACATCTCAGGAGGGATTTTGTCCCACTCCTCTTTGCAGATCTTCTCCAAGTCATTAAGGTTTTCGAGGCTGACGTTTGGCAACTCAAACCTTCAGCTCCCTCCACAGATTTTCTATGGGATTAAGGTCTGGAGACTGGCTAGGCCACTCCAGGACCTTAATGTGCTTCTTCTTGAGCCACTCCTTTGTTGCCTTGGCCGTGTGTTTTGGGTCATTGTCATGCTGGAATACCCATCCACGACCCATTTTCAATGCCCTGGCTGAGGGAAGGAGGTTCTCACCCAAGATTTGACGGTACATGGCCCCGTCCATCGTCCCTTTGATGCGGTGAAGTTGTCCTGTCCCCTTAGCAGAAAAACACCCCCAAAGCATAATGTTTCCACCTCCATGTTTGACGGTGGGGATGGTGTTATTGGGGTCATAGGCAGCATTCCTCCTCCTCCAAACACGGCAAGTTGAGTTGATGCCAAAGAGCTCCATTTTGGTCTCATCTGAATCATTCAGATGTTCATTGGCAAACTTCAGACGGGCCTGTATATGTGCTTTCTTGAGCAGGGGGACCTTGCGGGTGCTGCAGGATTTCAGTCCTTCACGGCGTAGTGTGTTACCAATTGTTTTCTTGGTGACTATGGTCCCAGCTGCCTTGAGATCATTGACAAGATCCTCCCGTGTAGTTCTGGGCTGATTCCTCACCGTTCTCATGATCATTGCAACTCCACGAGGTGAGATCTTGCATGGAGCCCCAGGCCGAGGGAGATTGACAGTTCTTTTGTGTTTCTTCCATTTGTGAATAATCACACCAACTGTTGTCACCTTCTCACCAAGCTGCTTGGCGATGGTCTTGTAGCCCATTCCAGCCTTGTGTAGGTCTACAATCTTGTCCCTGATATCCTTGGAGAGCTCTTTGGTCTTGGCCATGGTGGAGAGTTTGGAATCTGATTGATTGATTGCTTCTGTGGACAGGTGTCTTTTATACAGGTAACAAACTGAGATTAGGAGCACTCCCTTTAAGAGTGTGCTCCTAATCTCAGCTCGTTACCTGTATAAAAGACACCTGGGAGCCAGAAATCTTTTTGATTGAGAGGGGGTCAAATACTTATTTCCCTCATTAAAATGCAAATCAATTTATAACATTTTTGACATGCGTTTTTCTGGATTTTCTTGTTGTTATTCTGTCTCTCACTGTTCAAATAAACCTACCATTAAAATTATAGACTGATCATTTCTTTGTCAGTGGGCAAACGTACAAAATCAGCAGGGGATTAAATTCTTTTTTCCCCTCACTGTACGTGGGAACTCCTTCAAGACTGTTGGAAAAGCATTCCAGGTGACTCTGGTTGAGAGAATGCCAAGAGTGCGCAAAGCTGTCATCAAGGCAACGGGTGGCTATTTGAAGAATCTCAAATATAAAATATATTTTTTTGGTTACTACATGATTCCATATGTGATATTTCATAGTTTGGATGTATTCACTGTTATTCTACAATGTAGAAAATAGTCAAAATAAAGAAAAACCCTTGAATGAGTAGGTGTTCTAAAACTTTTGACCTGTAGTGTGTGTGTATGTATGTATGTATATATATATATATATTCCAATACTACCTGAGAAAGTGGCCTGGACTTGATGGCTAAAACACAATAGGGTCAAAAGGTCAGGTAACATGATATATTAGGATATTAAATTATTGCATCTTAGCTCCTAGAGTGTGCGGCTTTCCTTTTCTTTTTCAAACATGATCGTGCCACCATTTTTTAAAGCACCTGTCAGAGATGACATGTTGCTTGTTGTAAATTAGGTTTTATAAGAGAGTATCCAATGTTTTTGTTTCTGAAAACTGCTTTTTTTAGATGCTTTGTCAGATGTGTTCAGCTCCAGGTGAGATTTCGATTACTTTGTGAAGGGAGACTCAGAAAACAGGATCGTCAGCCTCATCAGGATGGATTTCATGTTGTGTCTCATTCTCAATTAAAGTATTTTTAGAAAAACATTTTCCATTCTTGTCCAACTACAAAGAGGCATAGCTAGCTGGCCTTCTAAGGACACAAGGTAGCCTCTACTCACACACACCCATTCATCACCAGATTTATACACCTTCCATTTCATCCAATTTATTACAAAAAGAGCACATACAAAAAGGATAATATACAAGCCTTGAAATAAAATTGAAATTAAAAAACAGAACAGTTTGGGTTTAGCGATGCAACTTTTAAAATCATTATTAGTAGTAATAAATAAAGTACAAAATTCCACCAAATGTGAATCTAACATTTACACATATGCTCATCCAGTTCTTCATCAACACACTCATCATCATTAATGAGCTATTGCTTTAATATTAATGATAAATAGTTCTACTCTCCGATAAAATATCCTATATTGAAAAACATTGCGCAGTCACAGCTAAAACAGCAGATTTCTCATACAAAGGTGGCGGCAGCCCTATCACTGGCACTATCTGGGATATTTTCTCTTTCCTTCAGTTTTTGTTTGTCAGATGCAAGCAGCAGTAAAATTAATTATTTGTATTATTCTTAGTATATCTGCAAATATTTTCACCATATACTTATATACCATCGAGAATATATATCCAAACCTGAGAAAAACATGCATTTTTAGTTAGTTTGTGCTTTAAGAGATCCTCTGTTCTTGTTTTCCCTTGAGAGAGGATTGTGATGGGAAACATTGGATGGGTTCTGAGTGGCTGGAGGGATGGACGGTCATGAATAAATAAAGGAGACAGAAATTAAAGGAAATGCAGGAAAAGAAGAGGGAAAGATTGGACTAATTAGTGTAGCGTAGATGAACACAGTGAAACATGCCTCTTTCTACAAAGGTTTTGGTCAAATATTTAACTAAAAAAGATGGAGAAAAACTGGCTATGTCCAAATACTCCTAAATAGCTGCTTTCCTTTCTCTCATAAGGTAGCCACAGATCTATTTGCTTAGTGAAAGCGTGAATATGCCAACCACACCACCTGATGTTCGCACACTCCACTTATGGGGGCTGACATATTTATTTCACCTTGCAGGTTGGTCAGTGGTGACCTTAAAGAGAGAAGAGAGGGAATAAGTGAGGAAAGACAACGTTATACAGTATTTGGACATGATGGCTTTTGGGTAAGTGAGTGCAGGAGTTAGTGTGGTTTAAATCATAAGGTAATATCTCTTGACACTAGAAGCGAGGCACTTGTTGGACTCAAAACTACATGTTTTTCTGGAAAAGAGGGAAGGAGAAATATCCCATGACAAAGAAGAAAAGGAACATGCTTTGTTAAAAGACAGAATGGATAGAGGGATGAAAGAGAGAGCTGGAAATGGACAGAGTATTTAATAATAATGATGATAATAACACATCTATGTTCGTAAACTGTTATGCCAGTGAGAGGGTTCCCATGTTAAAACTAAGAGTGCAAAACGAGAGACAAGAAAACAATTACAAACTAAAAACCATTTCATTCCATTGCAGTCTGTCCACTACATCACAGCATAGGGGATAAGAGAAAAGTTGCATTGAATGGAATGTAACCAAGATATCCACAGCACCACATGAGAAGAGCAGGCCAGACAGCTCAGCCCGGGACAGTAAACATAGCACAGCCGGCTCGGGGAGAGATCAAACAGCAGGGCTTTTTTGTTTAGTTTCTTCAGGAAAAATACAACTGCATGCGGAGCATTCCCATTTAAAACAATGCAAAAATGAGGTAAATCATTTTTTTTTTTGTTATTTCTAAATAAATTATGATTCAATTGCAACAAAAAAAAAACTATATAAAATTAAATATGTACCCATGATATCTACAGTTAGTAATAAATTATGATTGTTAAATACTTAAGGCATCTCAACTGACAACACCCTGTGTAAACTATCAAAACATCCCATAGAAAAGTCCACTAAAGGAGGAGGCAGTATCAACACTGGCAGTGCACAGGACAGTAAGGGTCTGTCCCAATCCTTCACAACTCATCCTTAAGTCCGCAGGGCGATTTAATTTTTCCTAATGCTTCAATACTGAGTCCTCAATGCATATGACAGAAAGGTTTTTAAGGATTGGCACTGCTATGTAGTGTTTACGCACATTGACTTAGACATAACAGAGCAACAGATCAAAAGGAAATATCAACATTCAAAAGGAAATATCAACATTTAAATACTTAATAAAGTTTTTTTTTTTTACAATAAAAGTATTCTATGACCCTTATTTTACCCGCCTCCAGCCCTGTCTGTGTGCACACTGTGGATACTGCCCCCATCACACAACATTCTACATTGTTGTTCTAGCAATACAGCATAGAAACCAGCATAGCAACCACGAGGGGAGATCTGTCACACAAAAACACAAATTTAACAACTAAGCTCCTCACTCGGTCCAAAACACTGCGTGTTTATATACCTAAATATACAGAAACCAACGCAAATGCAATACCAAAGAAAGAGGTTGTTGCTATATCTATCATCACATGTGCTTGTTCTTTAGGCAATAAGGTAAACGTCACAATAGGATTCCATTTTGTTTGCCACCAAAAAGGGACAGGATGAACACACGCTACAGGTCAGGGACAGCCACTGACATCGTGCTCAGTATTTTTTTCTTTGTTAGTGTTGAGAAAGATAGTCACAGCTCAGATGAACTAAGTCATGCACACACAACCCCCTCCCTTGCTCTTCCTATATATTTTTTTTTGACGCTAACACAACAGCCCAAGCCAACATTGAAACATGCATTTCACTACACTGCTCAGCCATAACACCTGCGCCAGGAGGGGATGGCACAGAGTCGCTGTTTCCAGGGCAGCTAACCCTCCTGCATACCCAGAATGCCCCACACCTCACCCAGTCACTGCAGTGCATGATAGGGGATTGGGTCTTACTACATTTCTTTTTTGCATTTTTTAAAGTCCTTATTTGGCTTTGTATTCTACAAGCACGCCAATCAAACCACCATTAATCTAACTACTATATTCCCCTTTAACCTTTGATACACACTTGAACCCGCACTTTAAGTTTGTCACACACGATCACGCATTGGTTAAATACACACTGAAACCCACACACTGGGGCAGAACACACACATTAACCCGTGCTGCAGCAGGTCAAGCGATACCATAACTCATTTGGTTAAACACTCACTAACCTGTGTATTTACTCAAACACACGCCAACCCATGCATTGGGGCAGGCCGACATTGCAGCAGTGAAATAGTCATATTATGTCCCAACACTGATGACAGCATCAGTCCCAAGCAAATGTAGAACTACTGTATTGCATACATACCACTGTCTGATACCGCTACTGTACTACCACAAATGATCTGTCGGCAAACATGGCGACAGGGCTTTTACGTGGTTGATTTAGATTCCTGTTGTGGCAGAATAAGCAAGGTGTGTGGGGGTGTGTGTTTTGAGTGTGTGGCCGGCTGGCAAGTGGGGTTGTGTGTTTTTCACTCAGTACATTAATGTCATGGCTTTAAGAACATGCTACAAAGACACAGGAAACAGGACAAACACCTGCCTCCCCTACCTACAACAACACGACAGCAACAACACCCCACCTCCAGCAAGCAACTAGTAAACCCTGTGCGTGTGTATAGAGTATGTATGTGTGAGTGTGTTTGCTTGTCTTTTTGCCGGGGATGTGCTTTTATTGAGAGAGAGAGAGAGAGAGACTCCATTCTCTCGTGCAGTAAGTAATCCTGGGTTGGCTCAGTAAAGCGTGAGTCAGAGAGGGTGATGATGTCACATGACGTCTGGAGACATTTGGCAAAGCACCCGTGTGGGGAGGGACCAGGGCCGGGGTGGAGGGGAGCAGGAAACACACCAGGGTGATTGACAGCAGCCAGGCCGTCAGGCTTCACCCCCGGGCCAATCAGCTGTCGGGATGGAGCTGCGTCTCGATGTCCACGCGGCAGATTGGACACTTCCTGCTGGTCGCCAGCCACTGGTCCACACAGCCCTGGTGGAAGAGGTGCATGCAGGGTAACCGCCTGGACGGGGGAGAAAGGAAGGAAGGTAAATCATCTGGTCATCAATTCACACATACTGAAAAGAGAAAATGTACAGTATGCACATCGCACAGTTTCAGGGGGTTCCTTCTGCAGATTTGATATGCTCCCAAAGGTTATTTGAATGACGAGACGCAGAAATGGACACAACAAATCACCTTTGGGAGCACATCAGCTGCAGACAATAGTCATTATTTGGAGGGTCCTGACAGTCATTACCTGACATCCTCTGCATCCTCCAGCATGGATAGGCAGATGGTACATTTCTCATCCACATCAGTCTCCTCCTCTTTCTCACCAACCTTCATCTCCAGAGGCTTTCTCTGTGGACCAATCAAATGACATATCCAGATTAGAATCAGATGGGGTCATCGGTGCTCAAGAGTTTTTAAAGAGACAAAAGGCTTCAGAAGTAAGCGACATTGCTTTTTTTAAACTTTGAGTTTGTATACAGTACCATATCATACCACACAGAATGCTAACCTGTGCTTGTGTATCTATGATGAGTTTTTGTAGTTGAGGTGATTTGGAATCATGCTTTAGTGGTGAGGTAGCCCTGTCTGAGACTTGTAAGCCCTCAGACCTTGAGGATGTCTTCTTGGTCTAATGGTTAACACATTCAATTCCCACTGGTTACATTTGCAATTATAGCCCCACTTGTGTGTATATTTGTAGCTCAAAGAGCTGCCTCCTCACCTTCTTGTATTTGTGTGGGAAGGTGAATCTCTCTATGGTGGTCTGAACTGCCCCTCTACTGACACTTCCCAGCCTGTCTTCAAGCTGCAACAGCTCCTAGGGCACAGGAGAACAAGGCTTTTGACAGGACTTCACTAGACATTTGCAATTACAAGTGCACTGGTAACGGGATATACAACAGGGATATAGAACAGATAAGGCCTTGCCATTAAAGCTTAATTGTTAAAAACATGTATAGTACACAGGTATAACACTAGTAATTACTGATATAGAATACAACTATAGGTAAAACAGAATAGGACAGGATACATCTAGAGATGGACGTTTACCTCATAGCTCTCTCGTACAGCCGAAGCATGGCGTGAGGGGTTGAGGCCCTGTAGAGCCAACAGGTGGAGCTGGGGGTACGGATAGTTTCTGATCTCGTGTACAACCTGTCGAAAAAAACTAAACACTTTAGTCATCCACAGAACATCGTAAGATATGACTAAACATACAGCACGGGACAGAAGTCAATCAAAAACCTAAACCTAATAAAACAGCAAGACAGACACCAAACAAAAGATGTTAACAGAAACAGACAGACATCAAACCACCAACCTAGACCCCAAAACAGGCAGCACAGTCTTTAAAAAACCTAAAGCAGAGATCTACAAAGACACTAAACAATCAACATAGACATAAAAATAAAAATAAACTACAACAAAGCAGAGACAGACCAAAACAGCCAAGTCATGGACGTACCACTTGTGCAGAGGTGGTGTTCCTGGGAAAGTGGTGCATTCTAGGGGATGAGGCCAGGTAATGCTGATAGTGCTGTGGAAGCTGCTGGAGCTGGTACTGATGGTGAGAGAGGCCAGCGTCCACACTGAGGTCCCTACGAACAGAGGGACAGAGAGAGAGAGAGACCTAGATTAACATCAACACAGAATATGAAGGCGATTACAGACGGGCTGCGATAAATAGCAATTGAACCGCAAGAAAATCTGCCTACTGTTTGTGGAGACCAGGTCCCGGTTGTTGTCAGCTCGAATGTTGTCATTAAAACATTGTTTGATTGTTTGACAAGATGTACTCTGCTCATTGGTCAACCATGCGCGGCGGCCACTCAAGACTTCAGCTAATTTCATATTTTGGCGCCTCAAGCGTCGAGCCAGGGGCGCAGCTCATGGGAGCGAGGTTTCCAAAGCTCGCCGCTTGCAAAAATGCTTGCGCTTTGCGGACCTACTCCCATTGAAGTCTAAGAGATGAACAATGATCAAATCAAAGTTTATTGGTCGCGTACACAGTTTAGCAGGTGTAATAGCAGGTGCAGCGAAATGCTCATGTTACTAGCTCCTAACAATGCAGTAAAATGTCAAACACTTAAAATGTAAGGGGGAAAAAATACAAAAAATACAAGAAATCAAGAACGGCGCGACAGTTTAGCTATGGTCTATGGTCAGTTTAGCATTTATCTCACAAATGGTTAAGGTTGGGATTTGGAATGGGTATGCTAATAATAGATCCGTTCTTATTAGTAACTTATACCGGAAGCCATAAACACTCCTGAGGTGCTCCCTACAGGCAGGTGGAGAGGTAAATGCTAAATCAACAACAACACTAATGCCAGACAGACGCGGGGATGGAACACTGACTTATCTTCTCCACGGCTCCCACTTTCATTTCAAACAGTGACTCACCAGTCTGTGCCCTCGGCCAGGTAGCGCGGCTGCTGGCTGATTGGCTGGGGAACGTGGAGTGGAGGGGAGTAGTCATACCCAGAGCGCAGCCTGTGAGGGTTCAGAGGAACGCGCTCCGGTGTTCGTCTGCACGGAGGAGTCATTTACATCCATTAGTATTTGGAAATTGGAGGGGCTGTAGTGTTCTAGTGTCTGTTCATTTGTGTGTGTGTGTGTGTGTGTGTGTGAGAAAGAGGGAGCGACAAAGCATATCAAAGTGTGTGTCTAAGTGAGCATCTAAAGTGTGTGTGTGTGCACGCACGTGTCTAGGCGAGTGAGCTTAAAAAAGTGGGTGGTTGTACCTGGAGTGTGGGAGGATCCTGCGGTGCTGCGCCTCTAGAAGCTGCTGCTGGATGAGGTATTGCTGGTGTAAGGCCTGAGGTAGGAACGGGGGCCCCGGGATGTCCTGGAACTGAGGGGGGGCCGGCAGGGCCGTCAGGGGCGGAGGGTGGTGGGGGGCCAGGCCAGTCTGGGGAGGCTGACTGGCATGACCCACGGGGAACTCGGCTGAGATGGGAGCCTGGGGGGCCCCCAGGTTAAAGTGTCGGCAGGAGGTAGCATGGCTGTGCTGATGTCTGGTGAAGTGTGCTCCTGCAGGAGACAAGCGCACCCAATCAGGATTCAGAGGAAGTAGGCCCCAACCAATCAAGACAAGACCGAAAAGACACTCAGTCAATCAGACGATAGAGAGACAATCACACCCACCCAGAGAGCAGGCAGACAGAGTGATCAACCAAGACAAGAGAACACTCACCCAATCAGAGAAGACGCCAGAGAGAGTAGAAAGAATGAGTGATCACACCAATCAGACAGACAGTGAACAACAGCCAAACAGAGGGAGTCAGTCACACTTAATTAAACATCACACAGAACAACTACACAGACATTTTACATTACATTTTAGTCATTTAGCAGATGATCTTATCCAGAGTGACTTACATAAGCAATTAGGGTTAGTTAAGTGCCTTACTCAAGTCACATCAACAGATCTTTCACCTAGTCGGCTCGGGGATTTGAACCAGCGACCTTTCAGTTACTGGCCCAATGCTCTTAACCGCTAGGCTACCTGCCGCCCACAGACCGATCTGAAGACAGCACAATCACACAGAATCAGACAAACAATCTGACAGACATAGACAGACAAATCATTGTTAGACAGAAACCACAACCACGCACACAGACAGAGATCAAACTAACAGTCAGAACACAGAGACAGACACAATTGTAAACACACATTCAGAAACAGACCAACCCCCCCCCCCCCCCACACACACACACACACGAGATCACTCACATACAGAGAGAAAACAGAAAGTGACCTCACCCAGGAAGAAAACACAAAACAGGAGAAAGAGCAGATGAAGAACAGACAAAGTGACCTCCATGGAGCGACCTCTAACCTCCAAAGATAGCCAAACTTTCTGGCTCATATCCTGCCGTTCTACAGAGTCAGCTGGGAGCGAAGGGGTTCACTGGGCACCGACCGACTGACCTTTAGTTTGATTTGGACTTTATGCATGTCTCTGATAATATCAGCTAGGTTTGATGTGGACTTTTGCTTAAGTGGGTTTGTATAATGTTATAAATAAGTACCCTGCGTTTAATTGGACCTTGAATGAACATATGAAAATCTATGGTACGGAGTTCCCGTGTATGAGAACGTTTAATGTGATGTGGCGGTAAATATTTTCAACGTTCTTCAACATGCTACTTATTCACAAGGAATACAGCCACTGTCTACCTGCCTCTCCAGCTGTGAGATGTAACTGTAGTCCTATCTATAGACCTCTCTCATTATGGAGCCTGGCATTATGGGATCAACCGCTAGATCCACCAGCTGCTTGGGGTGCGACTCAATAGTCTAAAGTGGCGTCCTCTCCTTGTCTCATTTTCTTAATCTTCGCTGATCTGGAAAGACAGGGCAGGTGAACACAACATGGCAGATAGACATGCCAAAATTGCTTTCACCTGTCCAGGGCCCGGTTTCCCGATGGAATTTAAGCGTACAAGTTTTTTAATGATGCATCTTTCCTACAACGGCCGAAGATGTAACATACGTTTCCCAAAACACCACAAAGAGAGAATGGTCGCTAAGTGCATCGTTGGAGCACGTTTCTATACTGATAGGATCGAAAAGAAAGGGAGCACTGCTCTCGGATCAGCTTTCTCCATTCAAATAATAGCCTTAACATTCGAATTTTCACACAATACTGACGACGGATCAGCTCCTAGAGAGATATTACCACCTACAGCTGCAAATATTGAGGTGGCTTATTCTAATACTTACCCAATAAATATTCACTAAATCACTGATTTGGCACATCATTGTGCGCATGTTAGGCTACACATCATGAAATATATTGAGACAAATTACAGAAAGTAGCCTACAAGTAGCAAAATAGAACTCAATTGAACCTGACATGAATTTCAATATGATTGAATAAATAGGCTTATAGCCTACTGCTTATATTTTAATGCATTCATCTCGGTTTTCATTTGAAGCATCATTTTATGTCGCTTGTTTGTATCAATTGCAAAGACATTGCAACTTTGTATTTGTAGTCAACTTTATTCTCAAGTTATCGGCTGTCAGAGACGGATAAACGAAGTGATTCTAAACTCAGCAAAAAAATAAACATCCTCTCACTGTCAACTGCGTTTATTTTCAGCAAACTAAACATGTGTAAATATTTGTATGAACATAACAAGATTCAACAACTGAGACATAAACTGAACAAGTTCCACAGACATGTGACTAACAGAAATTGAATAATGTGTCCCTGAACAAAGGGGGGGTCAAAAGTAACAGTCAGTATCTGGTGTGGCCACCAGCTGCATTAAGTACTGCAGTGCATCTCCGACTCACGGAGTGCACCAGATTTTCCAGTTCTTGCTGTGAGATGTTACCCCACTCTTCCACCAAGGCACCTGCAAGTTCCCGGACATTTCTGGGGGGAATGGCCCTAGCCCTCACCCTCCAATCCAACAGGTCCCAGACGTGCTCAATGGGATTGAGATCCGGGCTCGTCGCTGGCCATGGCAGAACACTGACATTCCTGTCTTGCAGGAAATCATGCACAGAACGAGCATTATGGCTGGTGGCATTGTCATGCTGGAGGGCCATGTCAGGATGAGCCTGCAGGAAGGGTACCACATTAGGGAGGAGGATGTCTTCCCTGTAACGCACAGCGTTGAGATTGCCTGCAATGACAACAAGCGCAGTCCGATGATGCTGTGACACACCGCCACAGACCATGACGGACCCTCCACCTCCAAATCGATCCCGCTCCAGAGTACAGGCCTCGGTGTAACGCTCATTCCTTCGACAATAAAGGTGAATCTGACCATCACCCCTGGTGAGACAAAACCGCGACTCGTCGGTGAAGAGCACTTTTTGCTAGTCCTGTCTGGTCCAGCGACAGTGGGTTTGCACCCATAGGCGACGTTGTTGCCGGTGATGTCTGGTGAGGACCTGCCTTACAACAGGCCTACAAGCCCTCAGTCCAGCCTCTCTCAGCCTATTGCGGACAGTCTGAGCACTGATGGAGGGATTGTGCGTTCCTGGTGTAACTCGGGCAGTTGTTGTTGCCATCCTGTACCTGTCCCGCAGGTGTGATGTTGTTACACGTGGTCTGCCACTGCGAGGACGATCAGCTGTCCGTCCTGTCTCCCTGTAGCGCTGTCTTAGGCGTCTCACAGTACGGACATTGCAATTTATTGCCCTGGCCACATCTGCAGTCCTCATACCTCCTTGCAGCATGCCTAAGGCACGTTCACGCAGATGAGCAGGGACCCTGGGCATCTTTCTTTTGGTGTTTTTCAGTCAGTAGAAAGGCATCTTTAGTGTCCTAAGTTTTCATAATTGTGACCTTAAATTGCCTACTGTCTGTAAGCTGTTAATGTCTTAACGACCGTTCCACAGGTGCATGTTCATTAATTGTTTATGGTTCATTGAACAAGCATTGGAAACAGTGTTTAAACCATTTACAATGAAGATCTGTGAAGTTATTTGGATTTTTACGAATTATCTTTGAAAGACAGGGTCCTGAAAAAGGGACGTTTCTTTTTTTTGCTGAGTTTATGTTTAGCGGACATCTTCTGTGTATGAAGTCATGCGAGAGGGCAAAAAAGCATCTAACAACGCACTTAGCAGGCGTTAGATTACGAGCGTATTCAAGTGCCACGTTAATAACAACGGTTTCGGGAAACAGCTCTGAGATTTAACGACGCTTCTACGCAGGTTCTAACGATGAACTTGCTTTTGGGAAACCGGGCCCAGTCCTCTTTCAGATCTGTGTGAAGGACGAAGGAAAGAACACAAGACGAAGCCAATTTAGACAATTAGACTACTGAGGTGCAGACCTGTAGCTAATCCGACACGTCCATCTGAGGCAAGCTGCTGCTGATGTATTCCCCATGCCTCACCCCCCGGGTTAATGCCACCTCTCGGTCTGTCTCTGTCGATCAAAGGAGGAGTTGTGAAGCTCTGGCCAACCTGCTGAATCAGCATGCTGCTGGGTCGCAGCCAAACAATCAATATCCATTACGTCCAGAGGGAGGGAGGTGTGGTGAGGAGGGGGAGGCAGCTGCTCCTTCAGCCCCTGTTAAAGCCCCCCAGCTGTCTGGGCCGGGGAACAGACACCAAGGTCTGGGGGGGTTGTCCCTCAGACAAGCAGCCCTCATATCAAAAAGCACAGACCCACCGACTGACTATGAATGGCCAGGCTCCATGTAGAGCCATCTTTAGTGCCGTCCTAGTTTATTCAGCAAGCGGGTTATTCCTCACAAAACTAGAACAAAAAAGGCCCTGCTTTTTTTTTTATGTACTCCATAGAAGGGTCCTTTGGAGGAAAGATTGTTGACATATAGTTGACATTTGTTCAACTTTTATATGCCCGTAGAATATATTACGTTCAACAATGTAATGAAAAAATAGCCAAATCAAAAATGGTATATTTTCAATATTCATGTTTGTATTGTTCAATATTCATAAATGAATGTAAGAAAATTGTGATTGAAATCAAAATACTAGTCATATTACAGAGCAAGCGGAAAAGCTTCATATGACATCAATTCTTGCTTTGTAGCACTTATGGGATGAAACATTATGGAGTCTTAAAAGGAGGCCAGAGGAAGGCCAAAATGTCACAAATATTCCAACTTCAATTAATTATTTCTCAATTATGCTTTAAGATATAAAATGTCAAATATATGTCAACAATCCTTCCTCCAAAGGACCCTTCTATGGAATACATTGTGAAAATCCCCAAAATCATGTTATTTTTTTGTTGCAGTTTCGTGAGGAATCACCCAAGCTGTGTGTGCTTTGACTATTATTGTGATAATAAAACGATACTACTGAACTCCATAAATGATAAAGAGTGGCTCGTAAAACAGCTATGCAACTTTGTTCTAATTTGATGTAGACGAGAGGGTTTAATCATTATCTTTACTGTTCAGAGGGGAATTTCCAGTAGCACTGCCTCTAATGATTATGATAAGCAGAGGTGTACTTGATACTTATAATTTAATGTTTTGCTGATAGTTGAATCACACTGTGTAACCAATTCAACTGACAAAAATATATTT